TTGTCAAGATAACGAAGTTCAAATATTGTTTGAGTGGGATTGGAGATGTTGATGCTTATTGGATCACAATCAATATTTCAAAGTTGCTCCTAGTGAGACTTTCAATTTACTATTAACATCAGAAAATAAAGAATTATAATAAATTTTTGAGATTCAAAGGTTTAAACCTACCATTGACCAAGAAGACTGAAACTCTGAAACTGTAAACCACATTTACTAACCCAATATGCCTCAAACTAATCTACAATTCTTGTTAAGAATCCAATGAAGATTGCAAAATCATAAAATCGAGAAAATACTTCATCAACTGTCTTTATAGCACAGTAAAGGTGATTTGTAATCTTATATCATCATAATAAAGTAAATTCTATTGTTTTATTGACATGATATCAGAATATTCCATCAATCTTATCAGAAGCTAATCCATTTTATCTTGAATGAAAAGTAAAACAGCAATTACTAACTTTTTGTAGCTTTGATGTTGATAAAAAGCTTCAAGGGATTAAAATTAAATTAAACTGAAATCAAAGTCGTTGAATAAATGCGAAAAGTCGACAATGGTTGATAAGACTGAATTGCATTGACTTCTTTGAAGTGCTTTTTCCTTGTGCTAAAGAATTGCTTTTGGTCTTGATTGATTGATTATGGGTTGGGCCTGACAAAATTAATACGATGCAAAATTATTCATAATTGAATTAATAAATTTATGGTTCCACATGTCAAACTTTAGTGTCGCACTTACTAATTTTTGTATTGGTTGGGATATTAAAGACAGGCAGAGATGGATCCATAACAGTCGAATCGACTCCAATTAAATCAAAAATATTCGTAATGTATTTTGATCAATTCCTGATAAGGGCTAATTCATGAATTTCCACTAAAATTTAATTAGATGACCAAAAACCAGACATCGTGTCTCTATATCCACTTTTTAATTAAATGACAATATTTAAAGTTTTTTGTGACGTCCGGAAAGATTAATTTTATTGCATTTTAATGTGAATTTAATATCATTATAAAAATGAATTATTAACTTCGTGGTTACAGAACTTAAATCGTGCAACTGAACCTTTACCTTTGATAATCAATATTTTGCGCTTTATTGTATTCCATTTTTCAAATTAATTATGATTAATTATCATTGCTTCTTGTTCATTCAATGATTTCTTTAATAGGAAAGATTATCTGAGGCTTTTATGGGGTCATTTGTTAATGATGTCACATAAAGATTGCCTTCAAATCTTTTATAATTTTTAAACTTAAATAGAATTTGAGGATCTTTTGATTTCTCACGTCATTTGTGAATGTCCCTTAAGATGCATAAATCATCGAGACAAGCCAGTTAAAACCGCACATGCTTAAAACATTATAAGCCAATAAAAATATTAATGACAATAGCAAAACAAAGCAGCTGATCGTTAAACACACAAGTAACTTTCTAGACTACAAACAATAGGCTGATGTAACTCATTATTCCCTTTAATAACGTCTCGGAATTCCATTTATCAACAAGAAATGGAAATTTTTTTCTCTCATTCCTTCAATTAGGATTAAACAGAAAGTAAATACAAGATAATTAAAGCACAAAGTAAATATTTATGTTCGATGTAAAACTTGTGGTATGCACTGCTGATAAGGCAGAACTTAACCTTGTAACAGTCATTCAGAAGCTATAAGTACATAAACAAAATTGTTCTCTAAACATTTTTTTTAACGAACCGATTCAATGTCGAGTTAATATCATTTATCATATTTTTTTTTGTCGCTTTCTTCCTTCCGTTATGGTTATGATGTAAACATTTACTGTACATGATACTTGCACTTTTTTATATCCAATTTTTTACTTCTTTGTTGTTTAATTCTATTCGGTGTTGTTTTGTTCAATGGGAAGTTAACTGGTGAGTCACTCTGAATTGAATGATAAATGAGTCAACCGGTTTAAGTTGGGAGTCTCCATGGCATTCCTTAAAAACCCGTTAAAATTTAACGATTTCTTAAATCTCAAATTCAAATTTTACAAACCCGTTAAATTTTAAAATGCTTTCAAAATTTCATCTTCAATATCCTTTTTAAAGCCACGGCATCCAATTTCTCTTAATCAAATAAAAATGACAGCAATTATATATTTATTATAAAAAAAATAATCACGCTGACGTATGCTGTAAAAGTGTAAAATGCAATAATCGTAACTTGATAATTGAGTTCTTAATTAAGTCCATAAATTTGAGTCAATATTGCACACATTATTGACATTCTTCCATATCTTTTACATTTTGTTACGAACTTCTGAGTAAGATTCTTTACTTGATTGTTGCCGGTAGACTTTAAGGAAGTTTGTAGATCAATATCGGAAGAATCATTGAAGATTCTATCAGGTTTTGATGCATTTAATAACTCGGCGTCATTTAATCAATAAAATCTTAAATATCAAAGGAATTGAAGCTCAATAAAGTCAGAAATATTCCAATCAATCCGCTTCAATCCAGAATAAATTAATTATTGCGACATTAAAAATATTTTAATGTCCACTTTAACATTAAAAATAAATTAATTAATCACTTCCATAATTGAGAATGTTGTATGCCTCCCCACTGATAATTTCCGCAACAAAAATCGATAAAAGAAATTTTAAAAACAATTCAAATATTTTTTCTATGCATTTCACAAGCATGTGAAGCTTTTATTCTCATAACTCATAAAAATATGAAAAAGAATCAATTTTCACTTACAACTTCCACCTTTCGTGCAATAGAAATATTCTCATAACGTCATTACGTAAAGTATCTTTAAGTTGAGAAAATTTTCACAGCGATAATCAAATAAGTAAGTGAAGTGATTCAACAGAACAATATAATAAAGTTTTGTGTCATTGTCAGATGATGAACTTAGTTGTAGATACTACTAGAATATAGCTAGAAAGCGCATAAAACAGAGAAATATCAAGTAAGAAAAATTACCAACGAAAAAACACAGAACCAGAAAGATAAAGGTACAGAATAACAAATAGATAGAAGAACAGAACAATTAACATCCAGATAGACGCAGCCATAACCAAACAAAAAGACAAATCATTGACATTAGCAAATGTGCCTTCAAAAATGCGCTAAGAGCAACACAACAAGTAAACAGTTAAGATTGTCTACCGCATGTCTATCTATACATTTTGGTGCTGAGCTGTTTACTTTTCGGCGCGTAATTTCTCTGAAAAACAATCAAAGTCGCTTCTCAAAATTGTTTGCTGTTGCTTCAAACGTGATTTAATGTCAAAAGATAAAGCTGACTAGATAATAAAGTCGGACGCATCATTAAACAAGGAACATTTAAGTACATATTTGACTGTTTAAAGTGATAAGAACAATGAAATGCCTTCACGTTTCCCAACCGTTAATAAATGAATCGCACGAGCTGTCGTTCAGATTTTATTAATTTATTTTAGATTATAAGAAGCTTGTAATGTAAGCCTTAACTTTCGTGTAGATTAACTGCGGTTTTGAATCGGTAAAATGATTTACTGCAACTTAGATAATAGCAATTATAACAATTTCCATAATTTTCTGTAAAAATACAGGTTTTAGTCTATTTTTTACTGGCAATTAAGTCATAATGAGAAGCACTATGAGCTGTCTGCTTGACTGATTCTGATTGATCTTCCAACACATTATTTTATATCATAATATCAAACTTTATTAGTTGTATGATTACTCACTTGGGTGATTATTGAGTTATAAGTTGCTAGACAATGAATAAGAATGTTGTTAAATGTTTGGTGACTTTACATTGTTGTAAGGAATGATTCATATAAGTTAGGGATGTTAGAGATGGTTAATATAGATAAAGATGAAGAATTCTCAAATTATTCATGACTAAGGTTCATTATATAATGACTAGTGTGCTGCAAAGTATCTATTGATCAGCTCTGGAGGTTCGTCCCAATGCTTATTCAAAATCCATATCTTCCCAGACTCTAAACGCTATTTAACTCAAAAAATTAATTGCTCAAACATCAACTGTGCATGTTTGATGACAAATTCTATTAAAAAGCGCTATAAACAGCTCAAAACTTCATAAATTTCATTACTTTTCAAACTAAATCTCAGATTTATTACCGTTGTTAAATATATAATTACGATTTTCGTCAATAAAATATTCACAATTTAAAGAACATCGCTAAGCACATGCAACTTACAACCATTCAACAACCACGTGTCATTACACAATCATTATAATGCGGTTTCAGCTTTGATTCCCTTTCAAAGCAAACTTTAAAATTTCTATTCGCATTTAAAAAGTTATTTCGAGAGAGCTTCAAAATTCGCCGGAATCAAAAGTTGTCGGGATTTTCTTCTTCGTTCGAACATCAAAAACAGGTCAATGAATAATTTCGTGAACATTTTCAGTGTTGATGATTTTACCGTCCCGGCAATCAAGCGTCGCATCATTGAGATTGAGAAATTTTACGATGAATGTCAAAAACAAAGGCTTTATAATCTGGACAGAACTGGAAAAATTCATCCACAATGCTTCTTTGTGAATTCAAAACTCGTTTCGGATCTCCGCAAAAAATCAGCTGTTGAAAATATGCCAAAAATTTTGCATCGACTTCGTCATCCGATTTATTTTCTATAAAATTGAGAGAATCTGGATCTATCCGGTTCATGTAACGAATGTTAAGCTACAATAAATGAATTTCTATTGACTTTTCATAATTATGGGAATTTCTTATGTCGTTGCAATAAATTATTCATGTCCACTTTTCTCTTTTCTCATTTTGTCAATGAGCAATCACGTGCTTACTTGAAGCTTCGACAGTAAAAAAAGAGCAAAAGCAAGCACATTTAAAGTAAAACAAATAAACATTGGATTTTGTTGTTGTTGTTTCGTTGACGTTTCCTTATGTATGCATATATCGTCTCTCATATTCACAATCATGCTGATTAACGCACATTTTTAAATAATTTTTTTTTTTCTTTATTAAGTTTTAGTTCACTTTTGCATTTCAGATAGTTCACATCGTAAGATATAAATAATAGTCATGGATGAAAAGAAGAAATATTTAAGTGCCTCGGGATACAGCCTTAGAGGATCAAATTATTCAATTAATATTCCACAAGATGGGATCATCAATCCTGGATATAGAGGCTCTAGTGAATTTATGTGTGAGTTTTATTTAATTTTTGGTACTTGGTGTCAATTTTTGATGGATTTAAGAAGGTTTGAGTATTTTTGATGTGAGAATCAAAGGAATTCAAGAGTGTGTATTAAACCTGAACATCTCAGACAGCAAAAGTTTGAACTTTGAAGAATCGTATTGAGCTTATTGAGGACAGTACTGTAAATAAAGCTTATCAATTGCTTGTTGTGCTCAATTTACTCAATACGGGCTCTTAGTTGTCAGGACATGTTGCTTCTAGTTAAACTGGATCTTTATGCTTTACAAAAATCAAATAATCTTACAAATTTTCTTGAATCTGCACCAAAAGATCTTATCTTTAAAATAAGTAGTCAATATGTCTTTTATAGACACTATACATTAAAAACCAGTTTTTTTGAGGAATCTCCAAGAGGATGCCTTTCAAAAAAATAAACAAACGATATGAGAAATTAAATATTCTAGGATATACCTCAATTCATACCAAAAACCAGTCTAAGAATTGAAAAAATACTCAATTTTATCCATACATTCTTAAAAACTTGATATCCACCTCGACAATTGTCAATAACTTCAACATTGTCTTTTATTTCCTCCAGTGGATGAAGAGGAACCAAAATCGACAACAGAACAAATTAAGGAAATTCCTTCAAAGTTAAAGAAAAAGGCGCAGAATGCATTCAGAAAGAAAAATATCTACAAACGTATTCCAATCTTTAACTGGTTGCCAAAATATAGCAAAGAAGATGCCATTGGTGATGTTATAGCGGGAATTACTGTCGGTCTTACTGTCATTCCACAAGCTCTTGCTTATGCTGGTATTGCACATTTGCCTGCTGCTTATGGTCTTTATGGTTCTTTCCTTGGTTGTTTCATTTATATTTTCCTCGGTTCCTGCAAAGATGTTCCAATGGGGCCGACTGCAATTCAAAGTTTGGCAAGTATCACAAATCATCATACAAAAAAAAACATACCTTATATCTCAATTATATCATATTAATACATTATAAAATACTGGTAAAATACATTAAATTAATTTTATTTTATTCTAATATGTTTTACTTCAAAAATAGTTGACCCTTCAAGTAGCTAAAGGAAGTTGGCAAAAAGCTGTAATTCTCTGCTTCCTCACAGGTTGTATTGAGTTACTTATGGGAATTTTCGGTCTCGGATTTCTGATTGACTTTGTGTCTGGTCCAGTATCAAGTGGATTCACAAGTGCCGTAGCTTTAATTATCTTCACATCACAAGTCAAAGATATTTTTGGAATTGAAAGTTCTGGAGGGACATTTGTACAAATGTGGAGATCAATTGCCGAAAACATGCATGCTGTAAGAATTGGAGACACCATTATGGGATTAAGCTGTATTGTTGTGCTGCTGTTAATGAGAGTAAGTGGATATTTCCAATAATTTCTGACTAATGGAATTTCTGACCTGCTTAGAATTTTCTTAATGTTAGGAAATTCCAAGAAAGTGGAAATTCCATCATTTAAACTTTGCTAATGGAAATAAATTATTTCAGCTCCTTCCAAACATCAAAATCGGACCAAAGAATGACGACGAGAAGAATGCATTCCACAAAATTATCAACAAAACACTCTGGCTTGTCGGAACTGCTCGAAATGCTATCATTGTTGTTATTGGTGGTGCCATTGCTGCATATTTCTACAACAAAGGAAATACTGACTTGCTTATCATGATTGGAGAAATTCCAGCTGGTTTACCTTCTTTCCAAATCCCACCATTCTCAATTCCAGCTGTAGTCAATGAAACCACTGGCGAAATTATTGAGGAAGGATTAAACTTCATGGACTTAATCTCTGAGCTCGGTTCTGGACTTGTTGTAATTCCATTGATTGCACTTCTTGAGAATATTGCAATTTGCAAGGCATTCGCTAATGGAAAGACAGTTGATGCTACACAGGAACTGATTGCAATCGGTACTGCAAATATTGCAAATTCCTTCGTTCAAGGATATCCAGGTACAGGAGCACTTTCACGTGGCGCCGTCAATAATGCATCCGGAGTTAGAACACCAATGGGTAGCTTGTATACAGGTAAGCATTTCCTTACAATTTTCTCAGGTAGGATTGACTTTAAAAATATTTTTATTATCCACAGGTATTTTAGTCATCCTGTCCCTCCTATTCTTCACACCATACTTCTTCTATATCCCTAAAGCCGGTCTGGCTGGAATCATTATTGCGGCTGTCATTTTCATGGTTGAAGTTCGTGTCGTCAAACCAATGTGGCGCAGCAAGAAAACTGACCTTATTCCTGGACTTGCAGCTTTCATTGCATGTCTCGTATTGCCATTAGAAATTGGAATTCTTGTTGGAATCGGACTCAATATTTTGTTTATTTTGTATCATGCTTCAAGACCTAAAATTCATATGGAAAAAGCTATTGTAAGTAGTCTCAATAACTTTGTAAGACAAGATTAATTACAATTACAACTTATTAATTAAATTTATAGACACCAAACAAAGGCATCAAATATCTTCTCCTCACTCCCGACCGCTGTCTCATTTTCCCATCAGTTGATTATGTGAGAAATTTGATCAACAAACAGGGTTTGAGGACTCAAGTTCCAGTTGTTATTGATTGCACGGTAAGTTGATGAAATTTCAATAATTTTCAATAACTTAATCTTATTTTAAAAATTCCAGCACATCTATGGAGCTGATTTTACAGCTGCAAAGGTTGTTGAAACTCTCGTTAAGGACTTCAATACAAGACGGCAACCAATAATTTTCTTTAACTTGAAGCCATCAGTTTGTGGTGTCTTTGAAGGTGTGTCTCTTGATTTCAAGCTGTATTACGACTATGAAGCTCTTGAATTAGCTATTGAGGAACTAAATATTATTGGAAGTCAAAACAGTCTCCATCCACAGATTAACAGAATTGCAACTGCTGAGTCAGCTTAAGATAGTCCTTTGTTAGTTCTTAAACATCACAATAATTAATATTTAATAAGTTAAGAGATATAGTTGAGCATGTATGTGAGGTGATGAAGACTTAATTAGAAATAAGACTAGATTGGTGAAATGTTCGTCTCTAACTTATTACTATTATTGTGCCTTCCTGTTTGTATATAACGATATTTTATTTAGAGCATAAGAGACTATACAAAGAATTTAATAAGAATCATTTAGACTGTTAGACATGAGAACATAAAAACAAAAAAAGACGAAGGAAAGTTGATAGCCATTTAATCTTAAGTGTGATACAATTACGATATTTTTTGATCTTCCAATTATATTTTTAATTCCGACATGCTTAAATTATTAATAATTATGAAAGTGCTGTAATGTCGTTAATGAAAATAAAATAAAATAAGATTATGAATGAAGAAAAATGAACTTATTGCTTACTTGAAGACTTTTCAGATAAGACGGAACCTGCTTTATCGACATTTTTTGTGGCAATGAAAGTTTAAGCACAGCTTTTTAGAATAAGACTTTATTGAACGACAAACGAAATAAGTTTTTAAGGTCCTCTTTCTCGTTGAAGTTTCTCAGAACATTCCATAGAATGTGCATTCATTTATGACGTCCATCATTAGCTGAGTAGGAGGAACTGCAATTTTGTAACATTTTAAAAAATTGTGCCTAATGAAATTCATTTTTGCAGAGATCGAAGCCGCTTGAAATTCTTAGCTTAGTATATCTACATGCTGTCAAAGGATTACACAGAATCATAGTAAAGAATGTAATGTTCTATTCAAATACTTTAAGTAGTTGTTAAATAGCTTTTTTCAAGCATAAAAAATCAAAAATTTTATCAAGCCGATTTTTTCGGCTTTGCTCTCTGCATTTTTGATCAACACAATAATTAAATGGATGTCAATGATTAAAATCTGAAAAGTTTTTTTTTCAAGTCGTAAATGCGTCACGCGATACTGAAGATAAGTAAATTTTAAAAGGAGGCAAATATGCTTCCAGTGTGTGTGTTTCAAAACAAAAAAAAATAACTGAAATTATTTTCTTTTATCAATGCAGTGTACTTAAGTACGATGTGACTACTAAGCTGTGGAATTTAATAAACGGAGAAAGTTTTCGTCACTAGAATAACGTATTGAATTAAAATTGGCATCTTCTGTGGTCAAAAAAATGGTACATTCAGGATGCATGCCAATGCTTAAAGTTCAGATTGAGTCTCTCTTATACAGCACATAAATCCAAGCCATCTTCTTATTCTTTAAATAATAAACATCTAAAGTGACCAATCTCAAAACATAATCCTTAATTCTTTCTTAAGAAAAGGCGCTTATGATTTACGTCCTCTCAAACTTTACTGCAGATACTCTCTTATAATGATAAAGTAACACAAGTGAATCATGAATATTTCTTTCTCGCGCAACTAAACTGATAGATAAGAAAAATCAACCATTTTTGGCTTTTTCTATAAAAGGAGGATTCTTGAATTAAAACATTGTTAGTTCAAAATTTATCGCCAACACATCGTTACAAAGGAATCGAGACCTTGGTGACATAATTAAAATAGTTAAAAAGTAAGAAAAAAAATCGGAAAAAAGAATCCAAGTCGGTTAATTGAATAGAAATCTGGCACTAAAGTGCTAAACTATGGCATGATGCTGGATTTGAGTTCAGCACTAGGCCAGGGTCACTCCAGATTTCTATTCAAATAAACGACTTGCGCTATTCGGATATAACTTACATAAGTCATTTACCTATCACGTTGATTAAGTCCTACCAAAATAAGGATTCTTGTTTTTTCTGAAAGTGCAGTTTGATGCTGAATAGAAAATGAATAACGGGATGCTTAGCAAGAATTAATTTTTTTTGAATTTTTTAATTTCATAAATTTACAAAACAATCATCTGTTCTATAAAGGTATGCAAAAGCAGATGCCAATTTCGAGAGGATTATTTGATAATTTTTAAACCAAAACCTGTTTTTTATCGATTAAGATTTACTTGATATATTTCTATCACAGTTTAAACTTTTAATCCAGTTATCAACATAGCTGAAAGGTGTCAGTAATCGCATTAAAATGTTGTTTCTTTCTTCTTAAACGAATGTTCATCTTACTTAGTCGAGTGCCATGCATTTGATTGATTACAATTAAAATCAACTCAATCATAATATTTTAAATCAATTTAACAATAATAATCCTTAAGACTTAGTTAATAAAAACTCAGATTTGTTGAAAATAATTCAGTTCTCAATATATTAAGGCACAGCATTCATCAATCGAGTTGGAATTACTTTAATGAATCTCCAATTTAAAATCAAGCTTAAGCCTTGATAAGTGTTTTTAAAAAATTAAAGTTGATTCCAACTCAAATCAAAGCCAATTAGTAAATGAAAAAAAAAGACTATTGTTGATAAGAAAGTTATTGCTGCATTGAAGGTCTTATTTCATATTTGAGTGTTATTCGAGAAATGTTAAGTCTTTAGATATCTCTAAAGTAGTGGATTTTTTGCTTAAAACCTTCACGAATAATTTGGAACAGTCAAGGTTTATTTATTGATGTCTGGTGTACACCACCTGATTTCTAGTCACATTTTAATCACGTTGATGTGAATTTCAAGGTTGATTTTTTTGGCCAACTGTTTACTTTTATCTGAGTCATCGAACTAAATCATGGCTTAAACTTGATATTAGACACAAAAATTCCAACGACTTTCTCGTTTGGCATCTTGAAGATTCCGATAAATCGCTAAGCCTTTCTAATGATTTACAAGATAACATTTATAGATTCATACAAAAATGACGTCTGATTTTAAGAAAAGATATTAAAAATTTGTAATTTGACATTTGAAATCAGACAAAAGCAAGTTCTAAAATTCCAATTTTCAAAAAAACATCATTTTTAAATTATCCCAAATTACTGTTCTGAACTTTTTATCTTTTTTGAGATTAATCCAGTCTTAGTTTAATGCAGTTTAATGTGTTCTCATATCAGCAATATTAAAAAAATGTTATTGGAAATTTTCCATTTATTCCTTGATTGGAATTTAACACAAAACAAATAAGTATAAATAGAAAGAAAGATAATTAAACATTTAAATTGATAAGAAGAATATTAACCTTAACTGAATTTACCCTTCGAGTTTATCATACTTTTTGACGCTTTCTTCCTCTTCTTTTTCTTGTGATATAACTGCTGCTGCTAACGTAAATAATACATGTTTGTTTAAATTTTAAATTCTGGAAGTTTCTATTCAAATTCAATTTAAGTTTAATTTTGCAGTTTTTCAATATAAAGAACTCAAAAATTCGAGAATGTCATCGCCCGGATACAGCCTTAGAGGACCAAGTTATTCAGTTAATATTCAACAAGATGGAGACAGCACCAATCCTGTATATAGAGGCTCTAGTGAATTTATGTGTGAGTGGTTTTGAGAATATGTTTTTTGAAACAGCTATGAAAAGCATAATTCAAAATTATATATCAATTCTATTTTATTTCAATCAGTGGATGATCAGGAACCAAAATCGACAACAGACCAAATGAAAGAAATTCCTTCAAAGATAAAGAAGAAAACTCAAAATGCATTCAGAAAGAAAAATATCTACAAACGTATTCCAATCTTTAACTGGTTGCCAAAATATAGCAAAGAAGATGCCATTGGTGATATTATAGCTGGAATTACTGTTGGACTTACTGTCATTCCACAAGCTCTTGCTTATGCTGGTATTGCACATTTGCCTGCAGCTTATGGTCTTTATGGTTCCTTTCTTGGCTGTTTTGTCTACATTTTTCTTGGTTCTTGTAAAGAAGTTCCAATGGGACCTACTGCCATTTTAAGTTTGGCAAGTATTATCTGCCCTTTATATTAATACACTATAAAATACATTTTTTAACTCCATTACAAACAAATACAAACCAGTAAAGAAATGATCACACGTGATCGACCGAAACACATTTTCCCAGACTTACGCCACCTTATATTCGAAAAAATTCGAAATGTCTTCGAAATTAATGTCGAAAACTTCGAAATTTGAGACGAAAATTTGAATTTTTATTGACCGTTAAGAAAAATGTAAACAAATCAAAAAATTTAAAATCAAAATCAATGATTTAAGCTTCTTTTAACAATGATTTAACTAAATTAACATAATCTTAATTACGTTTCATCACTATTAAATAGTTCACATTAGAAAAAAGAGCTTCAATTAACAATTAATTAACAAATTTATAATTCGTGAAAAAGTTCACTAACACATTTACAACTTTTGTTTACTTTTGATATTTTTGTTCTGAAAATTTTTAAAATCACCAATTCTTGCATTTAATTAAGCATTTTCAGTTCAAAAACATTAAAAATATGTCAAAGATTATTTATTTTAAAGAACTAAACAGTTAAAAGCTTCGAATTATGTTGAATAAAGTTTTTTTCCAACGGTTAAAAAAGATTCAAAATATTTAAAAAAAATCGGTAAAACTTCTGTAACTGACAATTTTTAACGTGACGTTAGTCTGCATTTTCCCTGCATAGAATTCGAGTAGAAAATAAAATCCAAAGACTACATTTGAAAAATAACGTTTAAAAAATATTTGAAAAATAACGTTCAGAAAATATCTGAAGTAAAAAGCCCAAAAATTATTTGAATAGGAACGTCTTAAAAATATTTGAAAAGTAACGGAAACGTTTAAAACAAAAGTCAAATCAACTTTTCCATGGGTTTCCAACCCTTGGAATCATAAAATGTCCATATTCAAGAACAGCTACTGTGTCTACTTGCCAAATTTCAGCTCATAAAATCAAAATTCAAAGTTGACACAAAAATTTTATTTTTGTTAATGTTACCAACCCTGGAATCATAAAATGGCATCGGTTCCATATTCAGGAACAACCACTGAACCTCAATGCTAAATTCAAATGGTCAAATATAATTATCTATCAAAAAAGTGTAAAATAGAAATGCTTTTAAGGGCTGCATAAAATTTGTGTACGAGAAACTTAAGGTGAAATTTTAGAAAAAGTTCATTTTATTACCCTTCATGTGCTCCAATCATTCTGATTTTTTGGCCAGCTCTTGCCAGTCACAATATACATATTATAAGCCAAAAACCGGGCAGGTTTTCAGGTCCAACTCCTTATCATTTTCTTGGGCTTTCTCCATTTCAGAAATGTTTCTGCAGGATGGAAGTTGTTGATGTGTGTTCGTAAGGCGCTTGTACTGTGAAATTCAGCATTGCAATATTCACAGTTGACTTCAGTTCCGTGCGCATTAATATGTCTCATCATCTCACTTTTGGAAACTAGTTTTTTTGCATATTGCACATTCTTCTTTGTCCTTGCCTTTTTCTAAACGGGTCTTCCTAATTTTCAAACCTAAAAGCTTCATCGCTGACTTTATACTTAATTCTGTCCTAATTTTAGTGATGATGCAATCGCTATAGTCTTTCTTGCTATAAGTTCTTGCTAATGACGCCTTAAAATATTTTAAATCGCTGTAGTTAACACGTTTCACTGGCATGTTTTTCTGTACATAATTGTCAAAAATGAGCATGTAAACGGTACATTTTCTTGAAAAGAACCCGCATGACACCTCACAAATTAATTTTATTTTATTCTAATTTATTTTACTTCAAAAATAGCTCACCTATCAAGCAGCTCAAGGAGTTTGGCAAAAGGCTGTGCTTCTCTGCTTCCTCACAGGTTGTATTCAGTTACTGATGGGAATTTTCGGTCTCGGATTTCTGATTGACTTTGTGTCTGGTCCAGTATCAAGTGGATTCACAAGTGCTGTTGCTTTAATCATCCTTACATCGCAGGTTAGAGATATTTTTGGAATCGATAGTTCTGGTGGTACTTTTGTGCAAATGTGGATATCGATTGCACAAAACTTACATGCAATTAGAATTGGAGACACCATTATGGGAATAAGCTGTATTGTTATCCTTTTGTTAATGAGAGTAAGTAGATACTTGTACAGCATACAGGAACTCAAACATCCAGTTTTCACCTTTTCCTTTACAAGAACATTCAATGATAATAATAATTATAGTAATTTAAAGTTTATTGATGTATCTTAAAAATTTGCAGCTTCTTCCAAACATCAAAATCGGACCAAAGAATGACGACGAGAAGAATGCATTTCATAAAATTGTTAACAAAACTTTATGGCTCATTGGAACTTCTCGTAATGCGATTGTTGTTATTATTGGTGGTGCTGTTGCTGCATATTTCTTCAACAGTGGACAAGAAGATCTACTCATCGTAATTGGAGAAATTCCAGCTGGGCTACCTTCTTTCCAAATCCCACCATTCTCAATTCCTCCAGTAGTGGACGAAATAACTGGCGAAATTATTGAGGAAGGATTAAGCTTTTTAGACATGTTTTTTGATCTTGGGACTGGCCTAATTGTTATCCCATTGATTGCGCTTCTTGAGAACATTTCAATTTGTAAGGCATTCGCTAATGGAAAGACAGTTGATGCCACACAAGAACTGATTGCAATCGGTACTGCAAATATTGCAAATTCCTTCGTTCAAGCTTACCCAGGTACAGGAGCACTTTCTCGTGGCGCCATTAATAATGCATCCGGAGTAAGAACTCAAATGGGGAACTTGTATACAAGTAAAGATATCCTTCTTTCCTCTGTTAAAGTTAAATTTAAAACAATATTTTTTTAATCTCCAGGTATTTTAGTCATCCTGTCACTTCTATTCTTCACACCATACTTCTTTTTTATACCAAAAGCCGGTCTTGCTGGAATTGTAATTGCTGCTGTGATTTTCATGGTTGAATATCACACTATTAAGCCAATGTGGCGCAGCAAGAAAACTGACCTTATTCCTGGACTTGGAACATTCATCGCATGTCTTGTGTTGCGAATAGAAATTGGAATTCTAGTTGGAATTGGAATTAATATTATATTTATTTTATATCATGCATCGAGACCAAAAATTCACATAGAAAAAGCTATTGTAAGCAGTCTCAATAATTTTGCAAGACAAGATTAATTAAAATTGCAACTTATTAATTAAATTTATAGACACCAAACAAAGGCATCAAATATGTTCTCCTCACTCCCGACCGCTGTCTCATTTTCCCATCTGTTGATTATGTAAAAAATTTGATCAACAAACAGGGTTTGAGGACTCAAGTTCCAGTTGTTATTGATTGCACGGTAAGTTGATGAAATTTCAATAATTTTCAATAGCTTAATCTTATTTTAAAAATTCCAGCACATCTATGGAGCTGATTTTACAGCTGCAAAGGTTGTCGAGAGTTTACTTAAAGACTTTAACTCAAGACAACAGCCAATAATATTTTTTAACTTGAAGCCATCAGTTTGTGGTGTCTTTGAAGGTGTCTCTCTTAATTTAAAGCTTTATTACGACTATGAAGCTCTTGAATTAGCCATTGAGGAACTAAATATTATTGGAACTCAAAATGGTCAAAGCAATGGTAGGAATGAGACCCCTGAGTCTGCTTAAAAATATGTTTATAGCTTAATAATGATAAAATAAGATTAGATAACAATTTAGTATTGCTGAGTAGGGATTTCAAATACAAATAACAAATATTTGCGTTTTTGGGTTTTTCGTCACTATTTTGAGAACCTCAAATAATTGAAATCGCTATTGCTGACAGTATTAAAAATAGAAAAGATGAATTTTCAATAAAGTAAGGCATTAAAAAGACTTATTTCAAAGGACTATAGAAATAAGACTTTTTTTAAAAAAAAATCTTTTAAATTCTGAAAACGTCTGCTGTGCTAATGACTAAGTTAAATTGTGTATACAGCATTTTTGGACTCTTTTCCTATCTTTTTATATTCAGCTTTAATATTTTCTTCATTCATCTTGTCAAAAAAGTTGTGAATGTTTCGAGAATGAAATTTATTTTTTAAATTTATATTTTGACATTTTCAGAATCAATGACTCAGAAACAGCTTCTCCGCAAACCCAATCCTCGAATTTAATTGAAAATTAAGCAGAAGCTATAAACGTAAATTTTCAACAAGTGGGCATGCAACATTTATTTCAATTCAATAAAAACCCTCAATAAATTTTAAAAATATATATTTACATTCTAATATCAGCAAGCCTAATTGCTGCTACAGATTTCAAAAATAATTGCCGCTTCCTAAAATACTTACTGCTATAAAATGCGTGGGATTACGCGAATCAGAATATTCTTATAATTAAATATTTTCTTTTTATTACGATTCAATAAATCCATTAAGATGAACAGGAAATTAAACCGACTGCTTTTTGAGTTTCATCTACTACTCATGCATGCATAGACATTCAAAATGATGAAAATTTCAATTAATATTTTTGAGCTCAAATTATTTCGAATGTTGTTTATTCTTAGAATGTTACGAATAATAAATTGAAAATCAAAGCTTTAAACAGTAACAAAAGACTGTAAGTCACACTTTATGCAAATCAAACTTGCTTACATTTTTTGTTTTGATTGCTTTTCTAGCTTTGTTTGATTGAGGCTTGCCGCAAAAGGTCGATTTTGATCGATTAATTTTGATATTTAGCACCTCTAGATATAGAAAACAGCAGTTCTAGGTATATTAAGTATGAATCACAACATTTTAATCAATATTGAAAATTAAAACTTCCGGCAACAATTAAAAATTAAATCCACATCCATTATTGAAGAGAACTTGATCTCATCAATTCCGATTATGAACAAACAAGTCTGGCATGTAATTCAGAATTTTACAGTTTGTTTGTTTCGCGGTCATTACGTGTTGTTAATTAATTACAAGAGCTAATTGATATACGGAATTAAAACATTTTTTTATTCAATCAGACAAAAATTTGTGTGCGTGAAATGGAAAGTAAAATTACATCAATTTATGATGGCGTCCAACCTGGTTGTGGATTATCAGTTCTTGTTAATTGACTATTAATCCAATCACGATATTGACGAACATCAACATACACGCCGGGCATATTTACAGCACCACATGAGAGTCCAAATGACAAAACACCCGCAAGTCTTTCGTTGCAGTACAAGCCACTGCCGATATTTCCTATGTGTGGGATATATCATCTAAATTATCATTTTATATTCACAAATTAAAAATAACTTTTACCTCTACAAGCACCAGTTACTGGATTTGTCACTGCAATACTTCCTGCACATAAGTGTGTACTTAAAACTCTGTTTTGATGAACTGTTGCTACATTACAATTTGCGTTTGTGATAATTGGAGCATTCATTGTTCGTTGTTCTGGCTGGATAACAGCTGTTGTGAGATTTGATCCGGCACCTTAAAAGATTTTTTTTTGGAAAATTAGTTCTATTATGAAAATATTTAAGGTAGAAAGGAAATTGAAAAGGAAATGAGAAAAATGAACAAGAACATTTTTAATCTAATCGCTAAAGCTGATTAGATATTTTTTTAACAATGATGGCTGACTTTCTAGAATCTTTTCACTCCTTAAACCGTCTGTCGATATTTTGTTCAACGCAGGATTTCTTTAATTTCTTAATAATTCAAGCATAACTCACCCCATCCAACTAATCGGCAAACAGAAGCAGGCACAGGAATATCTCCATTAATAATTGCAGGCTCAATTGAATTATGGAATTCTGGGAAAGGCTCTGCTAACCTCAAAACAGCTAAATCACTGTAAAAGATAAAATTTACTCATAAAACATCCAAAATCTACAAATATATTTTTCCATACTTATTTCTAGTTACAGGCTGAAAATTTGGATGAACGAAAATTCTCGAAACTCTTCTAACTTCACGTCTGACAGTCGAACGAATAATATTAATGTCACCGGCAGTTACTCTATACCAAAATGGATTAATAAGCTGATTTTGAGCATTTAATACACATTGTGCACTAGTAAGGACATGTTGTCTGTCAATAATTGTTCCACCACATAACGGTTGATTTGGTGTGCCAGGGGCTTGAATTAGAACTGCTGATGGAAATTCACCAAATACTGTTTGTGTAGGACTTGTTAATAATGGATCAATATCTACATAAGCACTTGCTGTCGCAATTAAAATAGCAAAAATTAAAAATTTCATTTTAGAGCAACTTTTTTCAATCCTTGTGAACTGCTCGAAACTCTTACAGCAACTAATTTCTGTTGCCAATCATATCTTCAATTAAAAACAAGTAAATTCGGTTTTGTCCACTTCAGAATTCACGTTATTGATAAGATGACTAATAAACGGAACCGATTAAGGTTCTTAATTGGAAACTTTTATTTTTATCTGATTGGTGATAAAGTTGTAATCTATTGAGTTTGAGAAGTTGTCTTGAAAGCTTTTGGTTGGGCTATTGAGTCGGAATGTCACTTAAAGGGAGTTTTTGGACAAAATTCAGCCTGTTTTGTGAGTTGACTGCAGTCAAGCTGATGTTAATGGCTTAGTAATCACAAACATCATCTTGTCTTCACAGTGTCCTCAATTATTATAAATTGCATTTTTAATTAATATGCAACCTTCATAGAAGTAAACAAAGTTCATAAAGAAAAACATCATTAAAGCAATAATAATCATATCTTATTCTAATGACATCTTCCAAGAAAGTTGAAAGACATTCCAAAGTAATTAAAGAATCTTAAATTGCAGCATTCCATAATAAATGCATTACGTGAGCTACTGCAAATGGATTAAACGTCATGAGTTTTGTTTTTTGTCGGAACTTTCCACTCAACAATTTCCTCCGTCTTGGTCAATATTTATCATTTCCTGGTAATTAATGATATCCTCAACATAAAAAAAAGTTGCAGAATCATGTACTTGAATCCTTTAAATATAAAATTCGTCATTTTTTGGTAAGCATTATATCACATCCTTATCACAATCCAAGTTCCAATTAAAAATTTTCTTTTTAATCCAGAACACTTTTTATGATTGCTTTATCGCCGATAGCTCAAGTGGAAATAAAAAAATAAAAATATCTTCATATTCTCACAGTATACTTAGTCGGTAAAGTTAAGTCCTAGCGCAAACACATTACAGGACAGTCATAATTGTAGCTTTAAAATGTTCTTAAAATTCTTCATTTTTTCTCTTGCTTTGTGGCAAGTATCAGCTTTACAAGGTGGAACTAATGCAGCTATTGGTGCTTACCCAAGTTTTGTAGCTGTTTTTGTGCCAACAGGAACAGCAATTTGTGGTGGTGCTGTGCTAAATTTAAATCATGTCTTGACACTTTCAAGTTGCTTGTTGAGTTCCACAAATCAATTATTATTTGCTAATCAAGTCACAGTCATGAGCGGACATAACCAAATTGACTTTAATCGTGCAAGAATCGTTGCTCAAGCTCTTTATGTCAATCCACTGTATAATCCATTCACATTTGAAAACGATGTTGCTGTCATCAGACTTAGCGCATCCTTCATCTTCCCAGAAATTGCTAATCCACAATTAGCACCAGGAATCATTAGCAATAGAATTGCACATGATACATTAAATTGTAATATTGCTGCCTGGAACCGAAACAATAACCAACAACAAACTTTAGTTCTTCCAATCCTGAACCGTGACCAATGCAATGAACTTCCTGTTAATTTTGGCAACATCAGAGAAACATCTTTCTGTGCTGGAACAGTCACATCTGGATCAGGTGTATGTAATCATAATATTGGTGCCATTTTGTACTGTAATGGAATGATTGAAGGAATCTTAAATGGAGGTTATGGTTGCGGTGCTGCAAACAATCCAGGTATTTACGTATCAGCAAGACATCACAATGCATGGATTCAAGATCAGATTAGACGTCAAGATATTCCAGTCGGTAACACTTTCCCATTGGAGAGACTTCCTTAAACTTATTTAAAGGTTTAAATATGAATTTTTTTAAAAAAATATTTTGATTCAATAAAAAATTGTTGTATAAAGGAAGTGAGATTTTATTGAAGCTTTATTTTTATTAAGGTTAAACGAGGTTCTTTAGAATTATTTGAAACATGAGAAATCTTAGGAACAGTCAAAACAATCTAATCTGAAAGTTAAATTGAGGATCGGGTCTCAGAATTTACGATTGTCTCGATAACGTGTAGATTAAGGATCACTGGGATATTAATGAGTGTGAATTTGCCTGATATTCTGACTGGAGTAAATGCTTTGACAGATTTTCATGTTCAGACGGAAACATATAGCTTGAGTCACAATCAACAGTGGCTTATAAATAAATGTGTCACTGACATGGCTCGTCAGCATTGTAAATAAATTCTTCTGTATCTTCTACTTGTGCTGAGTAAAGGATATTATTTGCATAAAAACTATTGACTTACTTATAATACTGGAAAGGACTTAGAACAGTCAATAATGATTCTTATTTCATAATATTCATTTAATATTCAATTTATTTCATCAAAAATTCTACACCTTAATTTCCAAGAATTGGCTGTGGGAACCCACGCATATTTAATGGACTCAAAGCTTGTTCAGTATTGTTTGCTATTCTCATTGTCTCATCAATCCATTGATTGTATGCACGAACTTGTTGGTAAACAGCAGGAACTGCATTACAATAATTTCCACCACTTAAAACGCCTGTCAAGAATCCATCACAATAAAGTCCACTTCCAATACTGCCGGTACAAGGTGCAGCTGTTGCACTTGTTTGTGTACAAATCATTGTGTCTGCAATACGATTTGAATGTGGGAATGCATTAATGCACAAATCTCTGTCCATAATTGATTGTCCTAGATTAATTTGTCTTGGACGGTATGCAGTAGTTGTAAGGTTAGTGTTTCTACCAAAAGCAACAAGTTGACATTGAAGTCCGTTACGTGAGACTCTTGTGCGTCTTCGTGCTACTTCGATTGTGTTATGAGGAAGTGGAAGTGGGCGATCTAACTGTGGATGAAAAATTAAATTAATTTCTCTGAAAAATATCAAGAAAAAATCTTTTTTTTACCCTCATTAAGGCGACATTATTAGCACCGGTGAATGGATTATATTGACTATGTACAAAAATTCTCGTTACTTCTCTTGTGACTCGTCGGCTGGTCGGTGGTGTGAAGAAAATATCTCCAGCAATAATTCTCCAATAGATTGGATTAATAATTTCAAATCTCGAATTCAATACGCAATTTGCGGATGTCAAAATCTGATTTAATTCAATTGATAAATTTTTTATAGGACATGATAATTCAATTTGTGTGACTTACATGCGAGGCATCGACAATGCTTCCACCACAAAATTCATTTGGTCCATCGACGAGAACAGCGCTTGGAAATTGACCCCATTGGCTTTCAACTCCACCGAGAATTAATGGAAAAATTCCTTCATAATCAACTGGCTCTTCCTTTAAAGCAGCTGCTGCACTGAAAACTTTTTCAATTGGAAAAATATGTTTTTCGTAAATGTGGGAAAAGTCGAAAAATAATTATTTTTTTTAATTTTACCAGCAATTATGAGAATTAAAAGTTTCATGATGTTATTCAATACACAACTGGTTCACGAATGTACTAATTGGCAAATAACTGCAAAAGGCTTTTATTGAAAAATACTTCTGATTCCTGATTTCGTTTATCATTCTTCCTTTGATAGATTAAAGCAATTAAGTAATTTTCAACAACTTGTTTTTTGTCGCGCGAAATTCAGTCGATAAGGGTGAAAAGACTGGTTACTCAGAAGGCACTTGAACTTAATCTCAAGAAAACGATGTTGATGAGGAGGAATTGATGGAATAAATTTTCAGTGCGCGCTTTTTGAAGTTTTGAATGCTTATGTTGGGTTTGTGAGCTTTCAAATATCATAATTGGGTTTGAGGAATCAATCAGGAACTGTTCCTACCATTTAGCTAAATTAAGCTGATTTTTTTTGATAGAATATTGGATATTGTGTTGAAGCAAGACTGCAAGTTAATAATATACAGCTAGAAGATTCTACAGAACCTTTGAAGATTGAAAAAATCTTATCATCAAGGGGCGAAGTAGGAATAACCTGGATTTCATGACGTGTAGCCCTTAGTGAGTTAAAAATAAAACTCATTTTACTTATTTCAATTTTCATAGTCATTGTTTCGCCTAGGAAGTATGCAGCCAAGATTGAATGATGAAATACCGAGTAGCAAGTCAAGACATCAAATGGTACACAAATTGATTCAAATTAAGTTGCTCAAATAAGGAATAACTTTACATCAATAATAACAGCCAATCATTTTTAACTTCCAAAAGCTATAAACAGAAAATTAAGCTTTGGATCTTAAATTCGTAATTAATACTCTCTATCTTATCAAATTAGACATAGATTGGATAATACACTTCTCTCAATTTTTTGTTGTGTTTTCTGATCATTCTGTAATCATTTGTAGGACTGTAAGCACGCCTGTTTAATAAAGTTCCAAGCAATAGAGTCAATCATGGCAATTAAAATATTTACAAATTTCTTTTGTTGTTTCCCGTTGGAAAAATTTGGCAAACTCTTCGGATATATCTACACAGGTGTTATTGCTACTTTTGGAATACTCTGCTTTTTAGCAATAATTGGATATTTGGCTAATGGGAATTTAGACTGGGATACAAAGTATGGTGAGTAAAATGTCTTGAGTGAACCAACATCCATTAAAGACATTCAGTCTTACTTTAAATGTTAGTCGCATAAAAGTTCGGTCTAGTAATTTCATCGAAGTCACTTAAATGTAATCAGTACCGGCTTTTAGCAGCAAATCTGCATATCTTTAAGTACTGGTCTTTTAATGAATAATAAATTTGCAGTTTACATCATGATAATGGCAACATTTCTGCTGTATGAATTCATGGGGACCATTGGAGGGATTTTATTTGTCTACGGTGTCAAAGAAGTAAATTCCAATAATTTTAATTCCATAATGTATCTTGAAATAACTATTAATTTTACAGGAGATACCAAAAAAACTTGTTTTGATAATTATCATGACGACATTAGGAATTCCACTTCCATATCTAGAGCTTTTCAGAGTTGAAATAAATGTGACTTCAATTGTGATCCTTTTCCTGATTATGTGCCTGCATATTTATTTGTTATTATGTGTTATTAGTGCATATTTTATACTAAGAAATAAAAAAAGTTTTCAGAGTAAATCTGAACACGTGTAGTACTGCTGTTTATTTATTGGCATTAGATAAAGTTAATCTTTTGGGGTCGTTCGCTTATGATGTCTAACAGCTTGACTCAACTCGACTTGACTTTTTGTGAAGTTGGTGTTGATTTTGAACTATGAATTGACAGTTTTGATGCATACAATCATACTTCTAGGGACATCACTTGTTTTTGACCCTTTCAGTCAAAACAGCTGTTTATCACTCAATTTCTGAAGTGTCTCTTTATGGATAGCTAGTGATATGATTTTTTTAAATCCTGTGTAACAAAGTTCTGATATAAATTTGCAGCTTTCACACATAATTAAATCAAAATAGATACTGATATCTTATCAATTGCTGCACGCAAATTAAACAATGTTCTAGGAATAAAACTGTTGCATTTGACATCATTCCTGATACAAATCTCGAACTGTATACACATTCTCGTCAAAAGTGGATCGTGCAATCATACAAACTCAATCTAGTGAACCGCCTTATCCATTTTTGAATAAACTTTTTTGCTGTTGTTCAGCAAAAAGATTTGGTGAGATTTTCGGATGGATTTACGCAGCAGCTGCGTCAGTTTTTGGCGTGATAAGCTTATTGGGAATATTTCATTATTTGGCTGACGATGACATTGAATGGGATGATAAACGAGGTTGGTATTTGGTCAAAAATAAGGATTCTTTGGATTATAATAAATATATTCTGCTTCCAGTGATTATTGCAGTTCATTTGTGCTTTATAATCTATTCGATTTTCGCAACTATTGGAGCTGTCATGCTAGTGATTGGAGTTAAACAGGTTGATGACTTTTAATTTGCTTGAAAAATTCATATCAAATTAATTTTAAATTTCAGGAAGAGCCAGATAAAATATTTCTGATGATGTTAGTGATGGCAGTAGGAACCTTCTTACCTTACATTGAAATTGTGTTGACTGGAGTTACAGTCTTCATTTTAGTGATCTCATTTGTTATTATGAGTCTTCATATTTATCTATTACTGTGTGTAGTTAGCATATATATAATAATAACGAATAAAGTTAAGCTTCAGCGTGTTTGGTACACGCGTGATACACGCTATTGAAATTTAATCGAAATTTGATTTTTCTAAATCTTCCTGGGTATCTGATGTTGTTGTATTTGCTTAGGTAAGCTTATTTTATCATACTCATGCTAGTTCCCGTTCTTATTTACTTTCATTTCATTATCAATCACTTTCGTGCTACGTAATTTTTTACATTAAGTATTAAGTCAAAATGACTCATTTATTTACACTAGATTCCGGGCTTTCCTATCTTATCGATAATTATGCGAACTAGGATTTGCAAGCTGTATACCGGAATGGCACAAGCTGGTTAATCAATCTGAAATCTGACACTAAGCTTGTGTGACTCTGGCATGGTGTTTTTTTAGCTAGAAAAAAAACAGAGGCATTGGTTACGGATTTGTATTCGATTAAACGACTTGTGCTATTTGGGATAGTAACCACAGGGGAGCTTATGCACTTATTTATTTAGATTTAAAATAATTTTTTTCATTAAAATAATATTAAGGTTCCAAAATAAACCGAATAAAGCTTCAATATCAACGCCTGATGACGCAAAAGTAACATTTTTTTGAAACTAGAAATTTATTTTATCAATTCACAAATCAGAGTCAAATTAATCCCTTGGAAAAGATAGCACGCGATAAAAAAAATCAAATCAACTTGACTCTAGCTTCTGCATGCACAAAATGATACGAGATGTCATAGTTGTGATTTGATTTTAAATGAGAACGGACTGATTGAACTTTTTTTAAATCTATTGAAATATTGGAAGTGACATGAGGAATTTAGCGTGCATTGTTTTAATTTTGGGTTTGTAGTCATTCAAAATTCTGTTGAAAATTCTTCATAAAATTTTGATTCAATTGCAACAGTCACAATTACTAATCGTGGAACAAATATTGCAAATGCTGAAGAAGAAGTAGTTGAAGTAGAACTTGAATGGAATTGGGAAGCAGGAGTGCCACACTATCCACATCCAAAATACAGTGATGATGATGAAGTTTTGTTCTTTCCTCGGATTATTGGTGGAACTCCAGCATTCCATGGCGAGTTTTTAGCAAAAATATCACTTCAGACACGTCGCGGACATCATTTTTGTGGTGGATCAATTATAGGTTAGTTGTGACTCAGGAACGGCTTGCATTGAATTTTTCATAAAAGTTTCGAGTGTCACCGCCCTACTTAATTATTTGAAAATATTTTGTTATCATTTTTATCGCAAAATTCATATTTTTGTAGATCTTCGTCACGTATTGACAGCAGCGCATTGCCTCACTGAGCTTGATGGACGAGTTATTCATCCAAATGATGTAAAAAGTTTTGCAAATTATTTAAAATATTATTAACATAAAAAATTTGCAACTACTTTTTACAGATACGATTGATGGGCGATGATTTATCCATAGATTCCCGTGGCGCACGTACTCGGCAGATCAGATTTGCTACGCATATTTTTGCATATCCAAATTACCATGCTTTAACACTTGAGAATGATATTGCCGTTGTGAGAGTTTCCGTTGCTTTCCATCAAACGCCTACACTTCAGCCAATGCCACGTTCTAGAATGACTCCAAATCCAAATGAAGTTTGTCAGTTGGCTGGATGGTAAGGAACATTTGATTGAAGATTTTTTGATTTTGACGACAATTTTATTGAATTAAGGGGTGTCATCCATGAGGACAGAAATAGGCCACATCCAGTTCTGCTGCGAGTTGAACTTGATGTGATTAGTATGGACTTTTGTAATGGAACTAGCTCGTATAATGGATTGATTCCTGCTAATACTATTTGTGCTGGTACTATGGATGGATCTCGTGATGCATGCTTTGGAGGTGAGTTTTGGATATTTCATAGCTCATTCTTACACCTTCTCCTCATAACTCCGTAAATTTTATTAATATTTATGTCTATTTTTAGACTCCGGAGGTGGCTTGATATGCAGCAACCAAATCGCTGGAGGTACAACGCAAATCATCATCAAAAGAAAAATTATTTTAAAACTCATTATACTTTTCAGTTGTATCATTTGGGTTCGGATGCGGTAGAAGAAACTTCCCAGGTATCTATGCAGACGTTTCACGCTACAATGTCTGGATTAATGAATGCATTGATTCTAATTTGCCTCATGAGGATATCCCAAGACCACCAATAATATCAAAGTATGAATCATTTTTGTTTTGTAATTTTTTTAAAAAGAAAAACTTTATTTTCAGTTCTGTTGGGAAATTTCATCCACCCACTAAGTATCTGTTGGTAATGATTGCAGCTGCAGTATGGATGATTTTCAATAAAGTTTGATATATAGCTTGAAACAGGGGCGTATCCTGGAATTTGAAGAGGGGGGACAAAAATTTTTTTTCTATGGAAAAATTCAACGATTTTTTTCATTAGTCCCCCAAATACCCACCCCCCCCCCCCTCGCCAGGCTTGAGATGAAAGATATTGATGAGCATAGATTATAAGAATATGATGATATTTTAGTTTGAGTTGTTGTTTCTTCTGTGATATTTGTAGAATAAGAAATTGAGATGAATAAATAGATGTAGGAAATTTTAGAGATTAAAAAGCTTTACGATTAATTTGATTTTGGTACTTTTTTTGTCACAAAATGATTGAATTTCAGTATTTTATGTATACTTTAAAAGGATAAACTAAAATTTTGGATATACAGTCGATAACTTTTTTACTTCCAGAAAGTTATTCTTCCTTGAATCAATACAAACTCCCAAAGATAAATAAGCTTAATTTTATCTCAACAAAAAAAAAATATTATCAATCGATTGACAAGAACTGATTTAATGTGAAGATAAAATTACGTCGTAACAGAAGTATCAAAAATATTGATTATGAACAAAAGTGTGAGTTAAACGTGATGTGGGCGTGTGGAGCAAAAGTATTGATATTCTGTGTTCATATGGAAACAGATGTTTGAAATCAGGCATCTCTTATCTTTGAAATTTTAATTTGTTATCTTTGAACAGAAGTAATTAAATGCTATACGTATGATATTATCAAGTTTAAGACAGATTTTGTATAGAATTGGATATTTGACAAATTGTTTTGTGTTTCTGATAGGCAATTTAATTGGATATACATGCTTTAGTGTTGATCATGCTGTCATTTATCTAGCTATTTATATCTACTCATTTACATCTACTAAGGATTATTCTTTGAAGATACTGTCTTACTTAAGGTACCAAATGGATTATACCAATGAAAATGACCTAGGATTAACAAACTTTCATGCATGATTGACCTCCAAAATTTCCAGAATAATAAGAAACTCCACAAATTCAAAGTTCACTCTTCATCATTAAAAAGTACAATCGTCATCAATAACATGACAATCCATGAATAAGTAAACAAAACAGAATCTTATCTTATCAATCTTATCTCCATAAGATTTGCCATCAAAGTATCCGAAATAGTTTCTTATCATATCAGCAATCTTAAAGATGGTTTAAAAATTAATCAACAGATTAAAATCAATCAAGCGACTATAAAAGGAACAAAAATTTCGCAAACCTCTTTCATAGTAACGGGAGCTATTGGCAGTGAATCGTGAAATAAATGGTGAACATAAAAACTTTTCTTTTGCTGTTGGGCTTAATTGCTGCCAGCTCAGCATTGCAGTTGCGTTCTGAAGAGCACATCAAGAGACGTGAAGCATTGTTGGCAAATGTTGATAATTTTGCTGAACAATTCAGAGTTGAATATGACAACTACACACAATATGGAGTCAGATCAACTCAACTTGAAAGTATGTTTAAGATGATGAAGCTTCCACCAATTGTTGGAAGAGCAGAAATTGAGGAATTTCCACCAGAAGCTGCAATTGTGTCATGTCTTTTCTGTCGTACAACAATCGGTACAATCTTGCAAAGATTCCGTGCTGGAGCCTCAAAGGAAAGTTTAATGGACTTTGCATTCGATGCTTGTATGCAAGTCACAACTTATGGTGCTGTTGTTTGCCGTGGTGTGGTTGATTTGAATGCTGTAAGTTATTCCTTTTATATTTTAAAACTTCACTTACTCTTATAACTTTACAATAGGACTCAATGTTCTTTATTATTGGCGAGCGTCCATCCTTGACAGCTAATCAGATCTGTTCAGTCATTCTTCAAGGTGAATGTGGTGATCCAGATCCAGTTTTTGACTTTACTGTTAGTGTATCAGCTGGTCCTGCAATAACACAACACAAATCAGGTTCAATTCCAAGAAATTCAAATGAAATTAAGATTTTGCACTTCAGTGACCCTCATTATGATCCAGTAAGTTGATATTCTTGAAATATCCAAAGCACTTCCTGTATTTATTTTGTTCTTTTACATCTATAAAGGCTTATCTCGTCGGTGGATATGCCAACTGTCCAGAACCAACTTGCTGGTAAGTGACTACTAGTTTATAACCTAGAAAATATAACTGAATCTCAAAATTTAAACGTCTATAGCCGTCGTGACCGTGGTATTGCTGCAGATCCTGCAGACAGAGCTGGACGTTGGGGAGATTATCGTGATTGTGACTCTCCATGGGAAGTTGTTGAAGATGCAATTCGTAGTGCACGCAGAGATCATCCTGATGCAACTATTGTGTACATTACTGGAGATTTTGTTGATCATGGTGAGGCATTTGTGACTGTTAGATTATCTCCTATAATGCTTAGCAATTTGACTTATGAATGATTTTCATGATTTTAATCATTTCTAGGTGTTTGGGAAACAACACATGCTGGAAACATCGCTATCATGGACAGATTCTATAACCTCGTAAGATCAGTATTCGCAGGTGTTGCAGTCTATCCAGTCCTCGGAAATCATGAAGGTAAAAATTAATACTTTTATCAATGGCATCATAAGGTGTATTTTAATTCTTAACCTTTTGTTTTTGAATCCATAAATAGCTCAACCAACAAATGTGTAAGTATTAAATGATAACAAAATTTCCTTTATCAGAAACGCAATAAAAATTTCTTCTGTAACTGACCTCATCTTTGATACTTTTTCAGATTTGCACCAACACACATTACTGATCCAGCTTTATCAATCCACTGGCTTTATGAACATGCAGGTATGCATACTTAAAGTTTAAATTAATTTACAGTAGACTGAATCCTGAATATTCTTTAGCAACCGCATGGGCTTCATGGCTTCCAGCTGCAGCTTTGACAACAGTAAGAGCTGGAGGTTATTATACTGTTTTAAATCGACCAGGCTTCAGAATTGTGGCATTGAATAACAATGATTGTTACATCTACAACTGGTAATATTCAATTATTAAATGCCTTTCATCTTATTTCATATGTTACTTGCTTAATCATGTCTAGGTGGATCTTATACTCAAGAAATGAAGTTGCCGCACAACTCCAATGGCTTCACAACACTCTTCTCGCTGCTGAAGCTGCAAATGAATACGTTCACATTATTCATCATATTCCAAGTGGCGGTGGAAGCTGCTTGCGTTGGTGGTCAAGAGAATATCGTAGAATCATTGACAGATTCCATAGAATCATTAGTGGACAATTCATGGGACATTCACATCGTGATGAATTCAATGTCTTCTATGCTAGAAATACAGATTTTGCTGTTAACTATGCATGGAATGGTGGAGCTACAACAACTTACAGTAACGTTAATCCAAACTACATCTTGTATCATGTTGATAACCAAATTTTCGTAAGTTTTGTTGACTTAGTCATGATTTTTTAAAATAATTGGAAATTTTGTGCTTACAGCAAGTAAATGAAGCAGATTCCTGGTATTACAGCATCACAGAAGCTAACATCAATCCAAACACACCACCAGTATGGAGAAAACTCTTCTCAATGAGAGCTGACTTTGGACTTCCAGATCTTTCACCAGCTTCATTGAATAACTGGGTTACCAACACATTGGCAAGAAACCGTGCAACTTTGAGACGCTACTTCGAATATAAAATTTCAATGGGAGATCCCCTCATGACTGCTCCATGTGATGACGATTGCTTGAGAAACCATCTTTGTGCTATTGTTATTAATGAGTTCAATGAACACCGCAAATGTGATCAATTGAGACAACTTCCACTCGCTTAAAATGTTTTTGATGATATTAATTATTGCTGTGCCTTGACATTTTGTTTAAATTTTTTTTTTGAAATAAATCGCATTTTTCATGTTAAACAGGTGTTTGTATTATTGTCATAGAACTAATCTAGTCTTAATTAAATTTTTTTACCATATTAAGCTTTAAAATCTTAACCAGTTAATGCAGAAAAGATTCAGTGAATATAAATTCAGACTCTTATCGACATATTGCTATCTAAGTTATTCTTTTGAAATTTTATCTCTTCCGCACAAATCCTCTCATGAAAGGAAGGATTTAAATGGAATCAAATAACAAGAAAGAAAAAATTCAAAAGTTATTGACTGCGGGGGGTATTTGATATGGATGTAAGTCAGTGTCATAGCTAGAATATTGCAGAAACACACATGCTTTTGATATCAAACGTCATCTAAGCTTGTTTACAATTTCATTTTAAAACAATAAAAAATTAGCAGCAATCTCTCAAGTGTTTACTGTAGCTTTAAATTCTGAAACTTGTGCATACTCTAAGCAAGGATTTATTTATTGCGAAGATGATAAATGAAAAGACTTTTCATAGTGAGTCTAAAAATATCTCATTAAATCCACATTGTTTGTTCTATGCTTAATTTTTTTACAAGTGGTTTGTAATCTACAGTTTGATAGTAAATAGGGTAAATAGAATATTCTGCAAATGTATGAATCCTTTCATAGATATCATTAAACCTCACGAATTAATCAGATTTAGAAAGATTTTTATCCAAATTAGAAGAAAAAATCCTAAAATCAGCTTTCATCAGTAATTCGCCACTCCATTAATCACTTACCACTTCGAATAATATACAAAAGATTTGAACACAATACAATTCTTATCAACTTCATGTCACCAGCATGTAAAGAAGACAAAATAACTGTCGCATGTCTTCATTAATTAAATATGAAGTAAGAACAAGACAAGACATACGTTTTATGTGTTTTTTATAATAATGTTTCGATATCTGTAAGTCGTGGACGCGTGTGAATTTCTTGTAGAATTAAAAATATGCAATTTATTGCTTGCTTGATGCTGTATCATGTGAAATATTCAGAAATATGTTCAGCATAGATTTTTATTCCAAATTTTACTTTTAAATCAATTAATTAAAGGTCTCAAAAGCTTACCAATTAAGTTAATCACTTAAAAAAGCCATTAATTTTTAATTTTCCAAAACATTAACTGCCCATCCACGAGCCTCCACTTTATTACAGCTTAAAATACAAACTAATAAAAATTTAACTTAAAATTCCCACTTGTGCTATTCATTATCATTTCTATTTACCAAACTTTGCCATTTATTTTCTTATCATCCAGCAAGTCTAATAAAAATAATGTATAAAAGAACCGATTCATTCAGTACAGCAATTTATAATAGTTGAAAAATTCACACAAGAATTGCTGTCGGGCAAAAAAATGAAAGTTTTTCTATTTTTACTTCCACTTATTGTTCATGTTTTATGTTTGGGAACAAAGATATTGAATGTACATGATGAGGAGCAGACGAAGGAAACAGATGGTATGCATATCTTTTATTAGATCATTATAATTGGATTCCTTATATAAACGTCAATGGCATAATACTCTATTATATCCATATAGAGGAAACTTTCAAAGCTGATTTGAAAAATTACATTGAAAATGGCAAACGATCTGAACCCGAGTAGCACCAACAACAACAACTGGTTTTACGTCGACGTCAAGGCACCATCAAGTAGACAAAAGCACGTCACGCCGCAAATTTACCGTTGTGGCAACGCTAAGGCTTCTTCACGCACGATTTCGCCCCATTATTTCATTGTTCAAATGGGGCGAAATCGTGCGTGAAGAAACCTTAGCGTTGCCACAACGGTAAATTTGCGGCGTGACGTGCTTTTTTCTACTTGATGGTGCCTTGACGTCGACGTAAAACCAGTTGTTGTTGTTGGTGCTACTCGGGGAAGAATTTAATAAAATTGTGGAGACTGTGAAGGAAGAAGGATTTAGTAAGTCATCAATATCTGATGATGCTCGAACTGTCTTTCCAACTCTTAGATGTATTGCATGCCGTGGAACTCTTGCATATCTCTTAACTCGTCGTCGAATGGGTGACTCAAGAGATAACTTAGCATGGTCCGCGATTCAGATTTGTAGACTTGCAACATCGTTTTCATATGAAGTTTGTAAAGGACTTGTCAACATAAATATAGACACAATACTCTTTGTCATCGAAACGCGTCCAAAAATAACACAACGATCAATCTGCGCGTTATTTTTGCAACAGGAATGTGGGGAACTAGATGAATCTCTAAATTTCCATATCAATATTTCTCCTCTGACGTCAAGATCAACAAAACCGAAATCCATTAAGCGTTCGACATCACAGACTATTAAAATTATTCAATTTACTGACTTACACTTCGATCCAGAGTATGTTGTAGGTGGAAACGCAAACTGTAATGATCCATTGTGTTGCCGAAAAGAGAGCGTATCGAATGACTCAGTTAAGGCAGGTTATTGGGGTGATTATAGGAAATGTGATATGCCATGGCATCTCGTTGAACATGCAATAAAGCATATGGCTGAACAACATCCAGATGCTGACTTTATTTATTATACGGGTGATTTTGTTGCTCATAATGTTTGGGACACGACAATTGACAATAATATTGCATTAATGGATCAATTGTATCAACTTATGATGGAGGCATTTGGTAGCAAAGCTATTTACCCAATATTGGGAAATCATGAAGGTATAAAGTGCATTTGCAGTTTGTAAATAATGCATTTAAATCACGAATTCTATATATTTGTATATTTTTAGCACATCCGGTGAATGTGTGAGTAAAATTAATTGCTTTTAAGTTCTTGAAAAGTTGATGAATTATCAGTTCTGACCGCTTGGTGCACAAGATATGAGAAATTGAAATTCCATTCATAAATTGGAATGTAGGAAGTGGCCCAGTTTGAAACTTTTTGAAATTTTTACTGCCATTTTTTGAATTTTAAAGTTTTTATTCACGATTTGGCCAAAGAAACCATAATCTAATGCATCCTGGAGCTAAGACACGACAGAACATGAAGTCGCTTATCTTCTTAGATGCTCTCCTAAACATAATAACTTTCAGTAGATACTCATTCTTTTATCACTTTAATATTAATCAGTTGAACCAAAAAGCTTTTCATTCACAAACAGCAGAGACAATAGAAGCAAAAAAGTAAACGTGTTGACTAACATTTCCTCGTTTTTTGTCGTGCAATGAACTTTCAAAGCACCTGAATATATTCTTCTTCACCTAGTGACATTTTTCGTTGACTGTGATTAATGGCTTGTTCTAATTTTTTTTTCAGGTTCGCACCATCATCAATCAATCAGAAAGAGTTTTCAAGTCAGTGGCTTTATAATTATGCAGGTATATTTTGATCATTTATTAAATGCGGTCAGTTATGCTTAATCATTAAACCCAATCAAATAAATTCTTAATCCTTTTATTTAAAAAAAATCAAGCCTCAATTTGGAGTAAGTGGCTGCCAGCAAGCACTCAACAAACAATCCAAAAAGGAGGCTACTACACATTGCTCATTAAACCTGGATTAAGACTTATAGCACTCAACAATAATGATTGTTATATTTTTAACTGGTGGGTTCTATACAGCATCGAAGATATTCAGGAACAACTTCAATGGCTTCACGATACTTTACTTAATGCGGAGAAAAATAATGAGAGGGTTCATATTCTTGCTCATATTCCAAGTGGTGATGGAAGTTGCTTCAAATACTGGTCACGCGAATATCGAAGAGTTATTGAGCGTTTCTATAGAATCATAAGTGCACAATTTAATGGACATTCGCATTACAATGAATTTAATGTATTTTACGAGACAAATAACATCAATAATCCAATCAGCGTCGCTTGGAATGGCGGTAGCATAACAACGTATTATGATGTTAATCCCAACTACAATATTTATTATGTTGATGCTGAAAATTTCGTGAGTATTTTTGGAATCAAATTTAAAAAGGAATATTTCAAAATAAATCCATCCTGATCCATCCGATTATTTTCAATTTTTCGTTCCAGCATGTGAATGACTATGAGTCGTGGATTTTCAATTTGACGGAGGCAAATCAAGATTCAATAAAAAGCCCACAATGGCATAGACAATATTCATTCAAAGACAACTTTAAAATCCCCGATTTAATGCCGTCATCACTCGACAATCTTCTCTTAAGCATGACAACAGATAGAAGCATGGCAAGACAGTATTTTCGGTATAAAATCAAAGACGGAGATCCATTTCTTAAATCTGACTGTCAAGATGACTGCTTACGCGACCACGTCTGTGAAATATCTATTAATGAAATCGGTGACGATAGAAAGTGTAAAGAATTGTTGAAAAATTCTTTCTCGTCGGATTAATAATGAGAATGAATGGAACCAAGAAGAAAAGAAATGTGTAAAAGTAAATAGTAATAATCGCATGATGTATGGGATATCGGGTAAAAACTGGTTGTAAAATCTGCTTAAAATTTATATGCTTAGTACTTGTATGATGTTAGGTAAAATTTTCATGATCATTTTGAATAAAAATTTTGACAAATCTTAAAAGAAAAAGTATAAGCATGCCCTTCACTGAAATGGTTGCATGCCTTTAAGTTTTTCTACTAATTTCACACTAGTCTCTCAAAACAAAGTTCTGTCAACGAGTCTAACGGCTAACGGTTCTTAAAAAACTATCACCCAGAATATATTTTCTTTAGCTAAAATGTTCATCAGTTTTAATTTTGACAGTGGACCAAGATGTTGTGGTTGAAAGTGTTTTTATCTCTATGCATTGTGAATGCTAGCTTATGCAATCGAATCATTAAAATGGAAGATATTGAAAATCTTCGTCAAAAAATTGCAAAAACACAGGAACAGCTTGAATTGAAAAATGTTTCCCCAAAAGCTACAAAGTTCATTGAAAAACTGCCAACATCACCAGATGTTAGAGGTGTCAGTGCATTAGAATTTTATGCTTGTGATGTCTGTTTCACCTCAATTGATGAGTTAATGTTCATTCGACGTGTTGAATTACTTAACGATACAAATTTAGTTGATTTAGCTGTCGAGTTGTGTACAGCATTAGAAATTCAAAGGGAAAGAGAATGTCGCGGCATCATTGAACTTTATGCACCGACTATTCTCTACATTATTGACAATAGACAAGATTTATCAGCGGAAACTGTCTGCAAATTCCTTCTGAACGATGGTGACTGTGTAAATTCACATGATGATGATATTTTAGAATTTACTGTGGCAATCAAGGACTATAAACCTCGTGAAGAAGTACAAAATGAAGTCGAGACGCCAGAAGTATTGTCAACAAATTCATCATCTACAGATGACATGATTATCGTTCATTTAACTGACATTCATGTTGACTTGAAGTACAAAACGGGAGCAATGGCAAAGTGTAAGAAATATGCGTGCTGTCGCGACATAAATAAAAATGATACGACAGCAAAGTCTTCACATTTAGCTGGATATTGGGGTGATTATCGTTCTTGCGATACGCCGTTAAATGCCATTGAAGACGCTTTTCATCACATTGTTGAGCAGCATCCTGTGAGTTCATTTTTTTACTACAATTTATTTGCTGTAATTGACATCTTTTTTTATTCCATTTACTTCCTCAACTTTAATATTTCATCTTGTTGCGCAATTCATCTATCCTCGCCTTCATATCTCATAATCATAGAAAATTGATGCCATTTATTTTACGGGCGATATAATTGATCACTTTCTGTGGGATACCACAATCGATGGAATGAAGAGTTCTTTGAAAACAGTCTATGGATTAATGAGAAATGTATTTAAGGATATTCCAATCTATCCAATTATTGGAAATCATGAAGCTCAGAACTTGTAAGTTGAAATTATGAATTTGTATGGGGACTGTTAATTAAAGACTCAAGGTAGCTATTCATTGCACTACTTTACCTTATCTCACATTTATGCTGAAATGCAGCTCTTAATCCCAACATTTCCTTTCACAGATTCGCACCACTTCACGTAAAAGTTCCAAATCTCTCAACAGAATGGCTGTACAGTTACATAATTGAAATTTGGGGTGATAGAATGTCAAACGAATCAATTGAAACCTTTAAAAATGGAGGATACTATTCAGTTTTGATTAAACCAGGCTTACGTGTAATAGCATTAAATAATAATCCGTGCTTCATTTTCAACTTTTGGGCGCTTTACGATTCAGAGCCAATGTACGCACAATTTCAATGGCTTCATGATACTCTTGTAAAAGCAGAGGAAATGGGAGAAAAGGTTCATATTTTAGCACATATACCGAATGGATTGGATGAATTTGCTGAGCCATGTTCGCGGGAATATCAGCGAATAATTGAAAGATTTCATAAGACAATTGTGGCTCAATTCAATGGACATCATGAATTTTATGGCTTTCATCTCTTTTATGAAGCTGCGAATGTTTCAAATCCTATTTCGGTTGCCTTTAGAGGAGGCTCACTTGCCTCATTCTCAAAAGTTAATCGCAACTATGTTGTCTATAATGTCAGTGTGGATACTTTTGTGAGTATTTGATCTAAAAATGTCAGAACAGATATTTTTATTTCCTTATCATTGCAGGAAGTCAAAGAAGATGAAGTATGGACTTACAACATGACGGAAGCAAATCTACAAGGAGAGAATTTAAAGCCTCGTTGGTTTAAACAGCCAACACTGCGTGAAAGCTTTAATTTACCAGATTTATCACCAGAAACATTGAGTAAGTTTACGATGGACATGATGAGGAATTCGACACTTTTTCAAGAGGTAAATGAGAACTTAAAATCTTGTGAATTCTGAATTAAAGCTTGAATCCTTTTTCTTTTCAAGTACCGAAAATTGCAAATCAAAAACAGCGACTATTTACTCAAAAAAGGATGCAACGATGAATGCTACAAAGACATTATTTGCGAAACATTGATTTCCGATAACACAGACGATTCATTGTGTCAGAAGCTGTGGAAGAAGTTTAAGAACTGATTTTTTCATTAAAAATTCTATTTTTGTTTAATTTTAAAGACTTTACTAACATTGAGTAGATATCAGGAATCTAAACTTCATTATTCTAATGCTTAAGACTTTTTTTGTAGAATTAAATTTCCATTAAATATTAAATGGAGTAAAAAAATTCAGAATAAAGCAAAAACGACGGAAATGGTTAAGAGGAATTTTATGACCTAACCTATAACTTTGAATCTGCAACGGAAAAAATAAAAATTAATTTAATGACTGGTCAGAAGGTTTCGAGTGGAAAAATAATATTATTCTAGTTTTTCTCATATACCTTCAGTGTGTGGCTTCATAAATAAATAAAAGTTTGGAAATATGAATTTCTCTTGGTTCTTGCTGCGGTTAGTGGTTGCTGTTAGCATAAACATTGGAGGGGCGCAAAAAAATCTAATCTCAACTTGACATCATTTGTTATTCATCTTTATCTAAATTATTTGTGCTGTAAATCTTTTAATTTATTGACATTATTAAAGTTTTATTCTCCCACGCATTTCCAATCTTTATTTTTATCACTTTGTAATTGTAATTATTTTATGTATAGTCATGAAAAGCGATTTAAATGTTTGCAGGCATAAAGTGAACAATATTGTTTTTTTATGAAATATGGCAGCTATTAAGAGTACAATATTGATAGCGAGATAACTTGCATATAATGTAATTTAAGTTTTAAATGAAATTTTTATTTACTTTTTCTGATTTTCCCTTAAAAATCTTCCCTTTAAAAATATAAAGTCAACAAATTTCGATTTATAAAAGTTATATTGAGATGACACTCATATTTCATGCTTTATTATTCTGAATAATAGCGTATAAAATGCAAATTTCATCTTTGCAATCGAATTTAGTTTATTCAGATCTCGGAAAATATAATCAATAAATATAAATAGTGATATGAATATGAAAACTGCTGATATAAATAAAATATTTGCACAGTAAGATTTACCAGGATTATAAAACGTTGAGTGCTGAACTCAATAAAAATATACAACAATTTGTTCTTGTTATTTGCATTTGTAGATTTATTGGATTAAGGAAAGTTTAGATAGTAAAAAATAAAGTCAATAGAAATGTGAGAATAAGTACTTGCTTAGTTTATAAATTCAATTTAAGAATTTAATTGCTAAGGAAAAAAGAAGTCTTGCCAGTTTAGATTAAAATGCTAGACAACCTTTAACGTTATATCAGTCATCACACTTAATGATAGAAGGAAAGTCTTTGGTACAAAGCCATATGTAAGCGAATATATCAGTCTAATATTGAGACCTTTGTAGTTGAGTTGTTCGTACACATACTGGAAATCTGAAACCTTATTTTTTACGAAAATGGGTTCGATTCCTATCAGAAACTTTATTCTTAAATGTTTTCATAGAGTTTAGTCAATATTGACAATTCCTCCTCCTTATAATCTGAAACTGCTGATTTCACACATAACTCATACCAAACTTACTCATCTTCTTTGTCGATTCAGCAAGCACATGAAAGCTGTAATAGGAAAAATTTCTTAAGATTCAATAGACAACACACATGTTTGCATATATTTATCATATACTCAGATTGCGAAGTTTATTAACTTTTTTTTTATCTTTAAATTTTGAGTTTTTCTTTTCCTTCTCTCATCATCATCAATATACATTCATTTGTCAATTTAAATAATTAATAGGAACTAAAAAATTAAATAAAAAATCAAAATTTTCTCTCCTTTTTCACAATTTTCTTTTCCTTTTTTGATATAATTTTATGTCTCAATATAATTTATGTCTATTTACATCATTTATAAATTCCTCCAACAAAACTCAACCGCATCCTGCTCTCTGATTCCATCATTCGATAAAGTTTTTTTTTCAGTATATTTTTTTAAACATTTAGAGTGGATAAAGGAGAAATAAATTAACAGAAAACAGCTTTTTATGTGTTTTTATTTTTATTTTCATGTCCATAATTTGCCACAACAGAATGAATATTTTATTTTCATCATCATCATCGTCATGTTTTCCTTCATCATCATCTTATTTTCTAGTATTATCCATTGTTGTGTAATGCTTGAGAAAAATATATGTATTTATATTCATCATTTTATGGCTGCCTTTTTGCTCTCCAACAGAAATTTTTTCTTTTTCTCTCCCAAAAAAAATTGTTCCTTCTTCCTTAATTTACAAATCACAAACAGCTGTGGCCACGTTTAAGTCATTCTCATCAGCCTGCCTTACATTTACAAATACTTTATTATTGTACTTTCCACTTGATTCCAATCGCACTGATGTGACACCACAAAAGATCGCTTGTTCTGGCCCTTTGACATCTGTCTTTCCGCATATGCCTGATGATTTTGTCATTTGACTTGAGTCGAGTCCACTTGAACCGCCGACAATTATTTTATCTGAATAGGTTTGGTGATCGCACTGGATTTATGAGGGGAAATATATGATTAGTAAATTATTTGATATGGTATTTTAGGACATATAAGGTTGGAGGGTCAGGGAGTCATTATATAGCTGATTCTTAAAAGATTCTAGGTTGTTCTTTTAAAGGAGGAAGGAAGATCTGAATTATATTTTCAAAAAAAATTCAATTTTGAAGTATAAAATGGGTCTGGACCTCTTTGCCTTCACTCCTAGACTTAACTTCAGACAAACTCTCTAACATTATTAGGATATCCCCAAGAAATTTGCCCCAAACATTTTAAGATACTCAAAAAAACTAAGGCAGAACCAAAAAACCCTCCAAATCCCTTAAAATATATCAAATTCCGTCCCCAAAATTAAGCCAAGAAGGATTTGAACTTACATCATAATTGACATTTCCTTTACTACCGCCAACATCAACAGCAAGAACTGAAATAACTGCCGGGAAGAGAGCTGTTAACGTACAATTTCGATTAGATCCATAATTTTGTAAAGTGTAGTATGGTGCGACTCCTTCAACCATTATGTTGCATGCTAGATTTTAAATTAAGAGGGAAATAGAAATTTTTTGAATGAAATGAAAATTGAGAATAGAAACTTACGCTTGGGATTGTGAACGTATCTAACAGAGATAGCAAAAGATCCTTGATATGGAATTTTATATTGAAAGACAGCGCCGTTTTGATTAGAAATAAATTTCCTCTTTCGAAGTGCTTTCCTTGTGAATGGATTTGCTGTTGTCTTGTCGCAAAACTCATAAACTCGCTGTTCCAATGGCAATTCATGATCATTTATATTTGGAAAGTATTCACCATTCAATTCCCATCCATCGACAAACTTTTTTTGGTAGCAAGGAAGAAGAAATTAAATGGAATTTGAAAATTTTTTTACAGACTTTTGAGCATTAAAGTGATTTTTACCCCTAACAAGCCGCCAAACTCACAGCTGACATCGGAAAATTCGACTTCCACTTCAACAATTTTATCAGGATCCGTCATTAAATACACACCACAAACTTGCTGTTCATTTGGTTGATCCATCTCCACTAAGTGTAAACCTTCTGATGACGCTCGAAGGAATGAATTTTTTCTCACTTTTCGGTAGATGAATATTCCTTCCTCTGATGTCACGTGCATACAATCTGTGGATTATTAAAGGAACAAATGAAATTGATTAGATTTGAAAGAGTTTATTGAAGATTTATGGTGTGAATTTTAAAAGACTTGGAACTTTTATGTATAAAATCTGTTAATAGGATTTGAACCGACTGCATAATGATAAATATTAGAATTAACCTTCAAACCTGAACTTATAAAAAGGTCAATTTTTGTAATAAATCCCAAAAGATTTGGTGATATTCAATGACATAATTCAATCATCTGCTTCTCATGAATTTAATAAAATTGTTTGACTCAGCAATAAAAGCTTTCATAAAACTTTAGGGAGATGATTCACGAAACTGTCAAGCATAATTTTCAATGACTGACACTTAATTTTACGTACACGACAATGTCACTTTTCTGAATGGCTATATCAAGTTACAATCTCTGTCGCTTACACATTAAGGTTCATAAAATGTGTCAAAAGAGACCTCGAGAGAGTTGATGCGTGTCAGCAGTTGTTGATAAGTAAAATTTGGTTGTAAGGAGGAAGTAGTATGATTTTTAACTAACATAATTCTGAAGTCTTTTATATTAATCTCAAGTTCTTGATTTCTGAAACTATCGCACAAAATATTGCCGTGGCGCTTAAGAACTTTACATCAGTTAAAATTACGCTAGAAAAATTCATCAAATTTTATTTTATTGAACCTTCTCGCAATTCCTTAGCTTCAACCTTTTCTCTTTCCCTTAGCTTCAATAATCCAACAGTGCCAAAAAAACGACAAGTATTTAGCCTCGAATGCAGAGACGAATCAATTCTCAATAATGCAAAATTGTAATTTGAGCAAATTTTGAATATACATTCATAAATTGTCGATTCAAAAAGGTGCTTCATATCTCATGAGGATGATTTATAACGTGATGGGTTAAACTTGACACTACATTGATATAAATTGCCATTTGCATAGCATTTACATATTCATGCTATAGAGTACGTAAAATATTATTCAATTGTAGCAGAATGTTAACAAATATTTAGGGATGGATGCTCTTTAGCTTTATTTGATAAATTTTTGATGAGAAATTAAAGCATTTGCAGTTATCTGATGAAAATAATAGATTATAACTGTAATTCAGCCATTGTTTGTTTAGTTACCGTCGCTTAAGTTACAAATGCATTCTCTTCATTATAAATAATGGAAATCATGCACGTATCTACTTTTCTTATAAAAGCTTTTGAAATTGATCTATGATAAGAATAATAAAGCGTTTACATTAGTCACGTAAATAGAGCTATAAACATTGATCAATCTCTTTATAATCGAATTTATGTGGATAATGCATAGTGCTTGGCATTATAATCGAATCGAGTATGATTGAATAATGGAATTTTATCTGCGATTATGGATATTTTTAATGCTTAATTTATTTTTGATTGCTTCATTGTTGAAGTGTGTCTTAATTATCATCACTTGAAGCTGTTTTTGATGATAATTAGGAAATTTCTCTAGAGTCTATTAATTAGAATTCATAACAATTTATTAAGAACTGTTTACTAATTAGGAATTTATCTGATTATATTATGAAAAATTTAATTATAGCATTTTAATCAGGTTCAATGTTATAAAATACTTACTGGTTAGTGTTATGATACAAAATTTTATATTGGTCGTAGTTTTACTAGTCTCAATTGGCTTGAACTGCATATTTCCGAGTGTAATATGATGACTAGTAATCTTGAGCTTAGACTAATGATTTTCAAATCTAAAATCATCTTTTGAATAATTTTATTTATCTTTTTCACAACATTCCATCAAAATCTTTATTCTATCCAACGTAAATGCTGATTCTCTATTCAATTCAGCATTCATTTCTTCAGAATTGATTATTCATTAACTCTTGAATCTCAACTTTAATTTAAAATTCTCCTCTTTCTTTTGTTACAACTTAATTCATGCTGTTGTTTTGATTACAAAACACTTTTAATTACTAAAAGCTTACATTCAACAAGAATCCTAATGAATGCTGGCACTTTCTATCAAAAAATCCTTTTTAAATATTTTTTGAGAATAAAAGGAATTGAAAAATGAGAAAATTATTTACACGAGAACTTGAAACATTGGAAATGAAACAGCATTTCCTCATTTTCATTAGTTTTTGGGGATGGGAAATTGTAATTTAATTTTAGGAAATTTCAAAAGTGATGTTGACATTTAATTTTGGATTTTTAAGGATTTTCAAATAGAATTTTTTCAAGCATTTTCAATTTTTAAGATGGTTCCGAATATCCAAGAAAAAGTATAGACTCCCACAAAAACTTCTTTTGAATTGTTCCTTACTAAGAAAATAGCACCCAAATTATGCAATTAATTTACAATCTTAGAGACTTGAACAAAATTTCTATTTCAATTCAAGCTTCTTCGAAAAAAATTGCAAGCACAAAGCAAATATGAAGTTTCATAAAATTGCAGAATTTACGTTTATTTAAACAAAATAAATTCTTCTTTTATGTTCCTAAGATCAAAACTTTTCTACTAAAATAGTTCAATAGCTTAATGCTTGAGTTCCTCCATGAAATGTATAAAATAATGCCTGAGAACCCCAAAAATGAAGCAACAACAATTTACATTTCATTATTTAAAAAACAAGCTTTACAATACAAAAATAGCTCTTCCTTCCCACATTTTCCATAGCAACAAACGTCATGTCCTTCTAATGATTTGAATATCATTAAGTTAAAATGTCACAAAAAGACATCAAGTCTTGTGCAAACATATTTTTCCAACTTAAAAAGAAACCGAAATTGAATGTAAATATTTTGTCAACTTACCTGTAAGTGTGTGAACATTTTTTGGTATAAGTGTCTCTAATGAACTCCTCCTCACTACCATACCGGGCCATGATTTTGCCTTTTTGGTCATGAAATTAAAAAAAGATATTTATTTTCTCGCAAGAATTAACTTTTATGGTTGGATATTCTTTTAAAATTAATTAAAAATTTGAATCTCATTACTGACATGTAGGAACTACGTCAATTTTTATGCATGTATGTAGTGTAATAGGATCTCAACTACTTTTCATAGAAATTTTCAATTATAAAGGTCTTATATGCTTAAATTGAAATTATGTGGGAACAACAACAATAAATGTTAGAGAATTTTCATGCCTTACATAGCTTTGGGATCCTCGTTGTGGGATTTCTGATGAATATAAATGATCGAAATTATTGTGAGTGATATGCATGCAAAGTCTAATTTAAGCTTTGTGATGTTTAACTCTAAGAATTTGTAGATAATTTTAAATTTTTAAGGGATGGCTGCTTGTTGGTGCTTCTGGGATTACTTTATGCATTCTAGTCGTATCCACAATATTTGATCGAAATCAAACCCAAATCTCTATAAAAGAGATGCTTCAAGACATCCGGTCTATTACCAAGTCACAGAACTCAAACTCTATGCTGACAGATTCAACTACATATGGCCAGATTCCAGACACCTGAGTACTAAAACTTTGGAATGTCTAAAACTCAAATTGCTTCCATAAAAATCAACAAGAAAAGTTCAATAATTCTCCATTGTTAGCATCACCGGACTGTGTAATTATTCACAAAATAAACAGCTTACTTTTTAAATATCGCTTTCCGGATCTTACATAGAATGATCCATTCATGCTTTGCTACTTTAAAAGAAAAAATTTTATTTTCTGAGTTTTACAACAGAATTGAATTTTTCTCTCACATTCTTCCAACATCTGTTGCATAAATAATGTGTGGTGCGGTGTGATTTGTAGACTTTATTGTACGTACGGTTATGCTTCATACATTATAAATTTGTCGGATAATATAATATCTTCTACTGTACAACAGGAAAGCAAACAACATAATTGACTTAATTGTTGTTTACTTTATAGACTTTATGATCATTCCAAGAATGTTGTAGGTGGTCTAGCGTCGGTATGTTGTTGTGCTGTATAATTTATGATTCTTTTAAACAACTTTTGTGAATTCAATATTGCATTATTATAGGTTTTATATAACTCAGTGGATGTGCTGTTTTTATGTATCATTTGTAATTAGAACAATAAAATATTTTATGGCTCATTCGGGTGGAAAAATGAGTTGTAAGCATGGTTTTATGCTGCATTATTCATCAGGTCAACAATTGGTTGTTAAATGCTTATGAAGCTTTGACTTTTACGTCTTTGTTTTCCGGCTGGATTTTATTCAATAATTGCTATTAGGAAATGAGCACTAAAATTGATGTCCAGTCTTCAGGAGATGTAAGATGGATCTGAATCTACTTGATAAATACCAAACAAATTTGAGTAGGATAGATTATTCATATCTTACAAAATTCTTTTGTGAATATTTTTTGCATCAATGAATAAGAATGTTCCAAATTCATAATTCTTTTATGCTGAATACTTCCAATTCATTCGGAAAATTGACTCAAAAATGAATGAATTTTATTAGCATTAATCAAATATTAAGTCTCAAAAGCTACACAAAAGCTCCTCATCTGCTTCTCAAACGCCTGTAGCTGCTTTTAGTAATTTATATAAACATAAGAATTTAGAAACTTTTGACTGAATAAGCGGAAAGCATGCCTCAATCGGCATTAATATTCTCCACATTCATCAGCAAAAATACATAAAATTCTGTGATGTTTTTTTTCATTTTATGAATTGTGAGAGCTTTCTTTGTTTCTGAGCAGCATTGAGTATTATTACTGCTTCTATTTTATATCATAATTTTAACTTTTAAATAAATTTAATTTAATTTGAAATTACATTTTAACCCTTTTTGAATGCTGCGAAAATTTCACTTCTTTTGTGTTAATTTAATTTTAAATATTATTTCATGAATATGCGCACAAAAATAAAATTTCGTTTAGAAACTCAACTAGGAATGAGATTCCATTCACATTTGCCTCCGCACATGCTTCAATATCAAATTTCATTTCTTATGTAAATCAACAGCATTTGAACTTTTACGTCGTGAATTGAAATCAATATGAAAAAAAAATCTTATGAATGAATTTGATATAATGCCAAAATTTTCCCATTGAGTAACATAAAAAAGATGTGATGTGAATTGAGAAAAAACCATTTTCCTTGACTATGAAAAACATTAAACGTTCAACATGTGGGAAAGGATTCATTCATCTATTTGATCTATTTGATGATGTGATGGGTTTTCTTCTTGAACGGATATTTTTGTGAAAGATTTTTTTATTGGTTTTTGGGATTATTGGAATGTTTTGTGGTAGAAATTAGAAAAGCATTTTTACAACCAATAAAACGTAGTCAAAGAAGTGGACAAAATCTTCAAACATTTCTCAACTTTCTCAGGTCTATAAAGTGAATCTCAAAGCAATTTACTACAGCTTTTAGTAAGTTTAATACATAGCATATTCAAATGATTCAAATAAAATAATTATTAAAACTCTTTGAGAGTCATCAACAACACAAATTAAAAGCATCTCCTGAGGCTATTTTTCTATTGCATTATTTTAATATCATTACTACTTCTTATCTTGGAATAGATCCGAAAGCTCGAGGGTAATTTCTAATGGATAGCTTTTCATTTTTCAATTAAAATTCTAGATGTAAGTCTAAAGCTATCATGAGTTAGAAGCTTGATAAATGATATTTATTGAGGCTTTCAAATTGGATTAATATCATAAACATAACTATTTTTATGGTTATAATCTGCTAATTAGAATTATTGAGCATTAGAGATGAAGTCTAAGAACATAAGGCCAAATAAACATTTAATTTCTGATCAACGTCTCTTAATAACTTCCAATCAATTTGTAATTTCATATTCACTCCCTCTAATAATCAATACCCTCATATCTTATCATCAAACCTCCAAAAAAATCCTTTTTACCAAACAAAGCAAAACTTAATGTCAAAAGAGGATTGAAAGTCTAATAAAAATTTATATTGCCTTATAATATTGACAATGGTCCCGAAAAATAATGAAACAAGTCATGGATAAAATCTTGAATGATCTTTTTAAGCTGATGCTATTCACAAAATATTTTTTTCATTCAATCTTTGTTGAAAAAGAAAAAAAGTTTTTCAAGTAAAACATAAAAAGAAGCACAAAAGTGACTTGATGCGAATAAATTCACTTTATAGAAATTCTTGATATTATTAAAAAGAGATTAAAGTATTTTGATCGGATATCCGTTTAATCTTATTGATTCTTGATAATTCAAGTGAAATGTTCAATATTTATCCTATTTATGAATGGTTGTAGATTTTATACGGAAGGTGGGTGTGGCTGTGAAGAAAATAAGCAAGGGCTGTAATCCCCAGGTAGAATAAGTAAAGTAAGATTTATTCATAATTCAAATTCATGCTTCTAGTCGAATATAAAGGAGCTCAATTGATGCTGAAGTTGTGAGAGAAATATTAGAATTTTTAAAAAATTATTTTGTAAGCTGACTACTTGAGCTTTAAAATGTTTGTTGTAGTGAAGAATAACTTGACATTGTCATGGGAACTTCTATTTTTAAAAGGTACTCTTATACTCAATTTTTATTCTTATCGCAGGTTTATAACTAAAAAGATAGTTTTAACTGATTTTGAAGCCTCTTTCTTCTTGACTACGAATCTATCTAAGAACATTTAAAGAGCTTCTTTATCAGCTTATTAAGTTCTTAAATTTGAATTTTGTTTTCTTATAATTTTTTGCAAAAGTTAACAGCCGTAAAAATAATTAAATAATGTAAAATGTTAAATAATAAAAACATTCAAAATGTTAGAATAACAAAGGATTACATGCTTGCATTAATGTTCCTCACTTCAAAATAAAATGCAAGCTTTAATCGTAATTTCATTCAAATAACTCCCTCGTCAGTTTCAATTTTACATCAAACTCATGATTATTTTTAGATCAGAAATGTTTTCATCCAAAAAAATGTCATCGTGCTTTCCAAATTTATATCCCACAGATTTCCTTTCCTACAAAAAGATTGATGAGATAAAGTTTAATTAGTTAATTCTGCATGGCATTCTATAAGAATTTGAGCCCAAAAGATTTATTTACAGACGAGATGTTATTGGATTGCATCAGAAGGCGTCTAAACTGTGTCTTAACCCGAAAATGGTCAAGTGAATCATTTTTATCACATTAATAGTCTCTTGTGTAAGATTTCTTAAACACCTTCTTAGAAATCAGAGATAAGATGACAAAAATTAGTATTGTATGTCATTGAAGAATGTAGGTGTTGTATAAGATGATGTGTAGATGCTGATATGAATTCAAACACATTAATCCTTTTAATAAATTTTGAAAACCTTAAAAGATTGTTTAAAGAAGTGCTCAATTCAGCCATTAAAGCATCCCTATCCCACATGCAGATGAGCTTTCATATCGCTCAACACCTCAGATCCCACTTTGTACTCAACGCCAACAGAAGAATCAAAAGGATTATCATTATGGGTTATTCCCACTTTGTACTCAACGCCAACAGAAGAATCAAAAGGATTATCATTATGGGTTATTCCGAATAATCAATTAAACAGCTTTTTGAAACCTCAAATATTGTTATAATCCCTTCAATATCAAAGAATGAAACCATTCAAATTCAATAGATCGAAAATAATTGAACATTCTAATTCATCCTTCCTAAGAAAACAATAAAGAAAATTCAATAAAACTGTCATTTTATTTAATCTTGAAGAAAAATTCACAACAGTTTAAATTACTTAATTTAGAGCCAAAATATATTTTCTTAAAATTGATACGACTGATGTTAAATTTTGGTTCTCAGATTAACTGAGATCTATTGACATTAAAGTGAGTTTGAAAGCATCCAAAGTAAATGAGGCAGAGATAATGCGGTCAATTGAATATCCAAATAATAATCTCACATTTAATTCCCACACGTTTGTTTCACAGATAATTTGTTTGCTGAGCAACAAAATGGCATTAAGATAATTATCATTTCGTATTGTTCGGTGGCTATGGTCAAGGCTGCACTATCACAGATTATTCTTGTTTACATATTGTTCATTCTCATTCATTATAAATGTTCATTGATGGAAATAATTCTTATTAATTAACATTTGACTTTAATGGCATAAAGATTATTATTTTTAGGAACTGAAACAAATTTCCAAAGATCCACAGTTGTTAAAATATTTGCGGAAGACCTAAATTAATGTCAATAAAGTTTAAATATTATTGAATGACTTTTCAATCGATTTTTATCTTCGATCTTAATTTAAAATCCACTGTAAGATGATGTCTGACAGCTAAAAAAGGGATGAGAAACCCTTCAATTAAAAGTTTAGCCTGGAAAACTTTCTAATGTGGCACCACAAAGAACATCAAGTAATTAATGAACAGAATGTAAGAATAAACTTTCATAATTATTAGATTGAGTTTTGGTTTTGAAGAACTGAACCTTTTTTTGTTTGACACGAGTCAGACAAAGCATAGGAAGAGATGTATTCAGAGCAGGTAAGATTGTCAACAGGATTGCACCTTAACATTATCAAATTTTGTCATTAACTTCACATTTGCTTGAACTCCAAACACTTTCTCCCAATTCCATCCCCATTCATCAGGGTGGATACTAAAATTGAGCAACATTTCATTATTAATCCATTGTACAAAAAGGATCATCATAAAATAATATTTGTCATTAAAGGAAGCGATTGACATAGAAAGGGCGGGCAGTGAACAACAGATACAGATACAGGATAAGGAAAATTAATTTTTGATATCAATGGTGATGAAAATGTTTTAAAATTCTCGTGACGTCTGAATCCTTCATTTAGAGAAAGGCGTGTTTAAACTTCCTTCTTTGTGATGTTAATCAAGCAGTTAATGCATTAAAATTTGATTAAAAAAAAGAGACGAGAAAAAAGGATTAATTTTTTTTTTGTGTATTATGAATTAATTAAGGAGGAATTCCTCATCTACGAGTGTTTGTGCTTGCCGAGACTTTCGTCAACGCGGCATTAAAAGACTTCAAGGAATTAGAATAAAGCACACATGTTGCTTTTTTTCTATGAATTTTTTTTTTTCATATTTTACTTAAAAACTTAATTATGAAAAAGCTATGTGTGATTTTGGCATCAAAGTTGATGATTTTAAGACTTTTTGCTTTGGTTGTCAAAACAAATTGTTTAGCTGAGCAATTAAGAAGAGTGACTTTAAGGCACAATGCAGGGAATACGAAGAATTATTTGATTGCTATTGTTATTTTTGAACAGAATAATTGAATTATTTATTTTATGTGATTTAATGAGCTAAAGTATGCCGATGTTTTGGTATTGATTGAGACAATTTGAATATTCTGTGATGTTTATTTAAAGATTTCTAAAAGATTGCTTTTAAATCTTGCATAACAATGAAGATTTTAATTGGTACGAAGCCAGAGGGTGCCAGAAGTTGTTATTCGAAACCTAGTTCAATTTTTTATAATTGAACAATCTAGATTTGTATAAAAATATCCAAATAATTTTTAGGATTTGCAATCTCATTAAAATGCAGCATTTGATCATAAAAACATAAGTTACCATCAAACTACAAAGTCTGCATACCAACAACTCTAACCCAAGATCAATCATGAAAGAAAAATTCAATATAAACTTTTCAATCAAAAGGAAAGTGCAAGGTGAATCTTAATAACTTGACGTCAAGTCTTTCCTTTTTTTGAAGTAAAAATGACACCAAAAGAGATCCTTTGATGTGAAAATTTTCAATCTTTATAGCTTGACTGAACTTCAATAAGATGATTTCCTTCTTGTAAAACTTTTTTCTCTCTCCACAAACATCGTTCCACTATTAAAATCACAGAATGTATTGGAGGCTTGGGAGAAGCTTTATCTGTATCATGTTACGATAAGACTTTTATTTGACTTTCGAGTCTTTTAGTCTTGCAATACTTAATACTCTATTTTATAATCATTTCAGTAGCTAGTTTAAATATTTAGTTTGGCATACAAATATAAGTTTTGATAAGATTTTCACCTTTTTCCTCAAATATGAATGTGTGAATGAAGTTCGTCAAATGTGACGAAAGATTGTTTGCTGGGAACAACTAGATGACGTTAGGGGTGTATGTGATACTAGGAATGTGCCAAAGCAATTCTCTCATAAGTTAACTTAAACTAGACAAGAACTTAATCTAAATTTACTAGTTCCACCCCTCAAATGACATTTATGTAAAATAACAAAAATAAATATTCATGATCTCTCCTGTCTTTTTGATGCATGTGTGAATAAATTACAACGATGATAGATAAAAGCCTTAAAATGCTAATTTTCATTGAAGATGTTCTTAAAGAATTTCACCGTCGTAATTTCCTCTGTCACACAAAAAAATTCTTAATGCATATGAAAAATGATTTCATGAATAATTTACGATCCAAAAGCTGTGACGAAAATTCATTTTAAAATAAAATTTATGACTTTGATTGCTGATTTAATGACTTTTGAAATGTAATTCATCCATCATCTTGAAATTTCATAATTAATTTCTTATGAATGAATTCGATGAAAATAGTTAAAGACCTTGGATTTGAGAATGATAATATTCGTTGTATCTAAGGTGAGAAAAATATTTAAACAATTTCTAGTTCAAGCTAGATCTTGTGTAATGAACCCAGGAAAAGTCAAACTAATTATCTAATGACAAATTTGCTTAATAAATAGAATTTATTTTTAAGGTTCCCCAAAATTTTCCATTGAAAATTAAAAATGAGTTTTGGATTATTTTGACTATTTTCTAACTTAGGCTAGGTCGGTGACGTTTAGAATCATTTATAGAGTCTTATGTACTGAAATTGAGCTCACAGACTTTTTTCTAGGATACAAACAATCCTGAGTGGACTTTTGAAGATAATGTCTAGTAAATAACTAGACCAAAGGTTGACTGATCTTATTTGGAATGTTCCCTAAAATTTGTCATTAGTTATTAAATAGACTTTTGAATTAGAGCAATTATAAATCATAAAACGCACAGCTATGGATCATAACATGGCACTGAGTTTCTTTAGAAATGTCAAAAATAAACGAATTTAAAAGTGAAAAGGTTCTTCATACTGTCTTAACTGTGCTTGATTCCTCTTAATCATCACTCTCAAGCTTCAAACAAGTTCAAAGCAAAACTCAATCAATGAACAAAAAAAAAGTTAATTCCAATCAAGTTTCACCATCCCTTGATCAGAAGTTTAAAAAAAGCACATAAACATATTTGCAAAGTAAAATCTGTTGCCGAGTTTAAACACCCGGTCTATGCATAATATTTAAACTTGCTATTTGAACACACAAACTTCTGACTTAGCAAATGGAAATGTGAATTACGTTGGAATATCGAGGGAATAATGCTAAATTTATCATTATTCTAATTTTAGTGCTCCAAATAATTTCATATTGGACTCTATGCAATCAGTGATTCCAGCTGAGCACTCACAATGAATATTTTAACCTCTCATAAATCATTTTTTTGATGAATTTCTTTTAAGCAATAGTTTAAGACCCTTTTCAGAATTTTCTACATGCACAGATTTAATTTAGTTGTTATAAGATGAATTGGCATGTGAACACAGCATGAGATTCAATGGATATCACAGATATATTCATCGAACTTACCTCTGCGTGATAAATGATGGTTATAAGTAATGCGACAAGAAACTTTCTCATATTTTATGTCCTTTATTATTTTTTAACTCCACAAAAAAATTTTATGTTTATAGCTTCACTTCCTTTTAGTTCTTATCACTCAAATTTCTTATATTCCACAAAAATTAAAAAAATCCTCTCAAAAACCAAAAAATTAAGATTTTTTGTTCACTTTACAAACTTAAAACTTTTCCTTAAATTTTCACCTTTTTTCACTTCCTTTTTTGCTCCTTACCGATCAGCTTTTCACTGTTGAATGACAAGCTCTTTACTCTTCGAACCGATTTTATATTGCAAATTGAAACGATGCTCTACCGAATGAGACTCTCGATGCCGATGTTGCGCGAAGCTAAAAGCTTTTTTTTACTCACGAAAAAATGAATTTCCGAATCAATTTTATTTTTTTGTGAATGAACGGAGACGAAAAAAGTTGAATGAAAAGCTGAAGCTTCACGTGATAATGAAATTGAAGAGCATAGTGAAATGGGAAGTATTGTCACATAAAGTTCGTAGGATTCATTCAGAATTTTTGATTATTTTGTGCTTGCGGCGTGAGTTAAATCTACAAGTAGGTGTAAATTATGTTTTGATTGAAAAATTGGATGTAAGGTGTTGGCTATTATGTCATGGATGGATTATGAAATAAAATTTGTTTCTTGCTTGGAAAGTTGGTCGACTGTTTGACCTAGAATTTTAGTAATTTTCAAGTAATTTCACTTCAAAATTTAAGTTCCTGTAAAAGGCCGTTCACTTATGACGTCCGACATTTAGGGGGGGGGGGGGGGGGGGTAGGGGGGTTTAGGATTTTGTGACAGTTCAAACAATGGAAATTTTTTTCTATAGAATTTTTGTGACAGAGAGGGGGAGGGGGTCTAAAAATCAGGTTTTTTGATGGACGTCATAAGTGAACGATCCCTAATGTATTGCCTGTATTTTTGATCCTATCGATGTAATTAATTTGTTTCTATATTTATGACGTTTGTTTTCAAGCATAATGCTTACAACACTTTCAAAACAAATTGTATAGCATTTTTTATCTCGTAAGACAGAGTTGGATGTTCTTGAGACATTTTTGAGAGATGTTGCTGAAAAGATGGAATTTTGTCAAAATATTCTAGACGTGGGTGGATCTAAAACATTACATCAAGATGAAGCTAGTCTTGAGCATAAGTTAACTCATTCAAAAACCTAAATGTAGCGTCAGATCCAAGCATGGACTCGTTAACTCTGTCATTTGAACTGAAATGCCAACTCTGCCTTAATGTTTACCAATATTTTTACTTTTATCTCCTTACAAGAATAATCAAATAGTTATTTTCGTACATTCTGTGATAAAAATAGCGCGCAATTATTTTTTCGTACCTGAGATAAAAATGTTTGCCATCCAAAATAAACAAAAATGTGCTTTCGATTTAATTTATGTGATATTGATAATCAAGATTAACAAGCATCCACAAAAAAGTTATTTTTAGAAAACTCATTTTTAAATATTCAGGAATAACTTATGCGTATCGTATCTTCAAAGATGAATGTTAATAAATTACCTCAAGCGAATAAAAATTGAATGAAAAGGTCCTCATTTTTGATGAAAAAGGATAGATAAAGATAAAAGTAAGCAACTTTAAAGAAAGTCCATTTAGTTATTAATTCTATTTTTAAGTTACAATAAGCTTGTAAATCTAGCCAATCTAGCCTTGAACTTTGATAAGTTAACATCAACATTCCAATACAAAAAATCACACACACAAACTTAAACAACCTCAAAAGTATTTAACAAAAATGTCCAAAACAATCCACAATAAATTTCACCATCACTTCTTTCAAGGCCATCCAAGCCGTCATCACACGATTAACATTAATTTTTTTCATCTCAAAAAATCAGCTGTTTATAAAAAGAGCCAAAAACCAGTTTCAAGCTCACGTTTTCATCTTCCGTTTACTCATCACTCTCAAAATTAATATTTGTGGCTTAGTTTTAGTCATCTTTGTGCCATTTCTAGTGATGCTTGTGTAGTCAAAACAATGGTTTTATTAAAGCGCAAATTTTGGGTCTTTACGCAATTTGCTTGTGCATTAATAGTCGTAGTTCTTGTCATTAATTTCTTATACGTGTCAACACCAACTTTAAAGCTACCAATAACACAAGTGGATCTAAAAGATTGGAACAATTATGAATTAATACGCGAAGATTCATTGCGCACGGGTTTTGGAGAGCATGGAAAAGGTGAAACGTTGACAGATGCAAATGAGATTGAAGAGAACAAAAAACTGTTTGCTGAATTCGGTATGAATGTTCTGATTAGTGATAAAATATCTGTGAATCGATCAATTCCTGAATATAGACATCAAAAGTGCTACCAAAAGAAATATCCAAAAGACTTGCCGAAAGTCAGTATCATAATTATATTTGTGGATGAATATTTTAGCATTTTTAAGAGGACTTTACACAGTCTATATAACAGAACTCCTCATGAATTAATTGAGGAAGTGATACTTGTGAATGATCACAGCACCAAAGATTTTCTTTATGAACCTTTAAGGATTTATGTTCAAGAGAACTTCCCTGGCATAAAATTTAATATCATCAACCTCAAGAAGCGTCATGGCTTGATGCAGGCACGAGTTGTTGGTGCTAAAGCTGCAAAAAGTGAATTTTTATTTATCTCAGAACCACATTGTGAAATGACGTACAATTGGCTTCCTCCACTTATTGAACCATTGTTAAATCAAGAGAAAGTTGTGACAGTTCCAATAATAGACAATATTGAATGGAAAGAATTGATGTACTTTGAGAATGATAAGGGTAATAAAGGATGTCGTGGTGCTTTCGATTGGGACTTAGAATATAAAAAGTTGAATCGATTTCCAGTGGCTGAAGCAAGTGAACTTGAGCCATTTTTGACACCAGTCATGACCGGTGGGATTTTTATGATCAGAAAGACTTATTTCTTTGAAATTGGTCCGTATGATCCAGAACTTGTCATCTGGGGAGCTGAAAATATTGAAATGAGTCTTAAAATAAACTTATGTGGTGGTCAGCTTCTGGAAGTTCCATGCAGTCACATAGCACATATTTATCGTGCATTTACAAAAGCTAGAAAACATGAAAGTGGAATTGACTTTGAAGGTTTCAATAGGAAGCGTGTTGTTGAGGTGTGGTTTGATGACTATAAGCAGCATGTTTATGAACGTCATAAGAGACGCTATGAAAACATTGACGTTGGTGATCTTACAGAAGCCAAGAAGTTTAGAAAAAAACTTAAATGCAAATCATTTGACTACTTCCTTAAAAATGTAGCACCAGATTTACTTGTGAATTTCCCATTGGATCAATATCCATTTGCTTATGGACAAATTCAGCTTCTGGATGAAAATGTCTGCCTGGAAATATTATTTGAAGGAGATCCAAATAAAAACTATGAAGTCATCCTTAATGAATGCTCAAAACCTCCAGTTGATACTCAATATTTAGAATTGAGCTGGTATCGGGACATCCGACTAAGAGAAATCGACGGCTGCCTGGATGCATATAAACTTTCATCATCATCATGTAAGTTTCTAATGCCTTTACATTATTTACTTAAAATTGTAACTTTTCATCATACACAGGTCACTTATCCGGTGGCAATCAGCATTTCAAGTACGACATAAAGTCAAAACAAATAATGAATATGGCAAATAAACAGTGCATTGAGGCAAATCTTGAAGATTTAAGTTTGAAGTTTGCTAAATGTGATGAAAGTTTGAAGCAACAGAAGTGGATATTCAACGAGTTTGTAAATGAAACAGCAATAAGCAATTGGAGTCGTTTTGGAAGGTCATTTCAGGGGGATGGAGTTTATTGGAATTAAATTGAATTCCAGACAGAAGAGTTTTGGACAAAATTTTGTTAATTTAATAGAATAAAAAAAATTTATTACTGTTTTGAAGTTTAAAACTCAATGCTACAATCCTTGACTTATATTAAATGTTAAAATCACGTCACTCTATGGCACACAACTGTTGCTCAGGCAGGGATTTGTTTGCTTTGTCGCGCAACTGTTGCACATAGATTAAATATAGGGTGACCATCTGCGTAGTTTTACAACGGACAGTCCTGTATTTCAAAACCCTGTCCTGTATAAATTTGAAAACTTTGTTCCAGGTCCTGTATTTTTTTCACGAAAATTTCCGTTAATTTTCGAATTTTACTCCATGTCCTGTATTTTTCGAAAAAATTTACCAAAAGTCCTGTATTTTCATGAAAATTAGATGGTAGCCCTAATTAAATATCATTTGTCGCTCAACTGTTGCACATAAATTAAATCTAATTTGTCGCGCAACTGTTGTTCTGATTGTATTTTTGTATAGTGCACAACTGTTGTACGGAAAAATTCCAATGTCACGCAACTGTTGTCCTCAAACAAACATAAACTCCCGAATTTGTAATCGTGTTTTAATTTCTCATTAAAGTCTTGAACTCAAGCAATCAGGTTCCAAAAACTAGTCTTCTTCAAATCTTTATTTTACCATAACAAACATCTTTATACATAGATTTAGTCCCGCTTGTTCCTTAATTTATTTTTTTCTCTGTTTCGAGAAAAAAATCTGCATTCAGTCACCTTTAAACTCTCGTCGACGATGAACGTTGTGCAACAAATAAGTTCTCAGTTATGCGTAATAAGCAGAATAAATTTTTAATTTTTTGGTTACTTACCTGCACAGTTATAGCATCTATATTTATAGTAAACAAAGAGTACTTGTCTCGAATAAGTGGAAATACCCTATTAATAACAGAAGAATATAAAGACTGGAACGACTATGAGATAATTATAAAAGATTCATATCGGACCGGTTTCGGTGAACATGGCAAAGGTGAAAAGTTGACAGATGCAAATGACATTGATAAAAACAAGCGACTCTGGTCAGAATGGGGATTTAGTGTCGTTATTAGTGATAAAATATCTGTGAATCGATCAATTCCTGACTTTCGACATCCAAACTGTTTTGAAAAGAAATATTTGAAGAACTTACCAAAAGTCAGCATTATAATTATTTTTGTGGATGAGAATTTTCATGTTTTTAAAAGAACTTTACATAGTTTGTACAACAGAACTCCTCACGAATTAATTGAGGAAGTGATACTTGTGAATGATCACAGCACCAAAGATTTTCTTTATGAACCTTTAAGGATTTACGTTGAAGAAAATTTTCCAGAAATTCAATTCAATATAATAAATCTCAAGAAGCGTCATGGCTTGATGCAGGCACGTGTTGTTGGTGCCAAAGCTGCAAAAAGTGAATTTCTATTTATTTCAGAACCACATTGTGAAATGACATACAATTGGCTTCCTCCACTTCTTCAGCCATTGGTTGATGACCTGAAAGTTGTGACAGTTCCAATAGTCGACAACATTGAGTACAATGAGTTCCAGTATTATGAGAATGATAAAGGCAATAAAGGATCAAGGGGCGTGTTTGATTGGGATATGGAATATATGAAACTTAAGAGATTTCCAAAGAAAGATGAAAGTAAGGAATTAGATCCATTTTTGACACCAATTATGACTGGAGGAATTTTCATGATCAGGAAGTCTTACTTCTTTGAAATTGGTCCCTATGATCCGGAACTAGTAATTTGGGGTGGTGAAAATATCGAAATGAGCCTGAAAATCCACCTTTGTGGAGGTCAGCTTCTGGAGGTTCCATGCAGTCGCATTGGTCATATGATTCGTGCATTCACAAAAGCTAGAAAACATGAAAGTGGAATGGACTTTGAAGGATTTAATAGAAAAAGAATTCTTGAAGTTTGGTTTGAGAACTATAAGGAGCATGTTTATAAAAGGAACAGGAAACGATACAATAATATTAATCCTGGAAATCTCACAGAAGCCATAAAGTTCAAAGAGAAGCTAAAATGCAAACCATTCGAATACTTCCTTAAGGTCATTGCTCCTGACTTAGAAGTAAACTTTCCATTATTGCCTCATCCATTTGCAACAGGTCAAATCCAATTATTTGATGAAGAATATTGTTTAGAGACCAAAAATCAAGTAGATGAAGCTGTTGTTCTGAAAAAATGTTTTTGTTTAATGAAGTCAACACAGAACTTTGAGCTTAGTTGGTGGCGAAGCATTCGTTTGAAAGGAACTAATATATGCATTGATGCTTATGATCTACGCATGAATTCGTGTAAGTATGTTTTGGTTTTTTGGGAGTTGTTGCTCTTTATTTTATAGCATTAGATAAATACAAATGCCTCTTAAATGAAATCAATTTACAGGTCACGGACAAGGTGGATTTCAGCACTTTAAATATGACATCGACACAAAACAAATAAAAAATATGGTCAATGAAAAATGTATACAGGCAGAAGTTGACGAAGAAAGCATAAAATTTGAAGATTGTAATGACTCCATTAAGCTGCAACAATGGACATTTAGTGACTTTATCAATGAAACAGCTCTTTATGATTGGAAAAATTCTGGAAGACCATTTCAAGGAGATGAAAGTGCTTACTGGTGGTGAAGTAATGAAGGAATATTACTGATTGTGTGCCATGATTACAATGTATACTGCTATGTCCTTTGCAATTATGAACTTTAGATATTAATAAAAATAGATACAGTATAAATAGAATTAATCTAATTTAATAAGACATTGGCATATCTTCAAACCCACAAGACCCAAAAAAATTCTCTACAGTAATTACATAACTTTTCTATATTTATAACAGCGTGCCTTAACAAAATCCAATAAAAATCAAATCAAATCCCTCAATCATCCAAATTATAGTCTCGACCCTAAATACCAAATGACAATAAATTTTCAGCATGTTGAATCAATTTCATTGTGATATTAATCCTCTCATTCATCTCTTTTTCAATGGCAGTATAAACAAATTCTTCAGGCTGTAGTGGAAAGATAGAAGAATCGAGTGATGTTGGCATATAAAGATATTGACCGTCAGTCGTTGGCAAGTCTGCATAAATTTCAACTGAATTCCAAATGTGAATATTTTCTAAGGTTTCGTTTCTGTATCCGCATGAAGCCTATTCCCGTTTTAGACATGCTATGACAGCACAAACCACAACGCCCGCGTCTCAAATTCATGATAAGGATCTCGTGCCGTGATGGAAAGTTACATCATATTGATAATGCGGAATAGTTCTTAATGACTGAATATGTATTGTAGTTGATTTTATAATTTTAACAAATTTTGTTCCTGTAACTTCTGACGATCTCAACAGTTCAAAGTCAGTTTGAAAAGTTGTCATCGGTGGCTTATGAGGTTTATAAGCAAGTGGTACTTCGGAAAGAGAGAAATCACGAAAACTTTAGATGATTTTGTTTATTGAAGCGTCGAATAACATCAAGCTTGTGCCTATCAACTAACAGCATAAACGGACAATTACTTCTGCTACTGACATAATTACTCAATTAAATCTCCATACAGAATATTGCCATCACTCTCTCCTGCAACGAAGCATGGACAAAAGCTAAAAAGAAGATTTTGCCGACATCACGCGATGCTTGTCGTACGACCGCAAAATAATAACTGTGGATTAATAAGCTGTGAATTGTTGGTATTAAATTTATTTTGATAAGCAACAAGTATCTTATCTGGAGAACTTTTGCGAAGGATAAACCAGATTGTGGATTATTAGAGGTTTTTGGAATCAGTTTGTGGTTTTGCGAAAATCTGTTTGAAGTGGTTTTGGTATGGATATGAGCTTACATGAGATGAGTACTGCTATTTTATATTGCTTATTAGCATAATAATTAAGATTAATATTGATTTATTTTCAGTATTGAGAAGTTTGTTTGATATTTTGGTATTTTGGAACTAATTCAATCTATTGAGGTAAGAATGAGGATGTATTATTTGAGTCTAAAGTAAAATTGGTGGGAAAGAGGTAATTTTAAGTAATACTGCAAGTTGGGATATGAATCGAACTCAGAATTCTTACTATCAAATGAGATAGTCAACCTTAAAGCAAAGAAGATGAATGCTCAAATGTTATGGATAATTATCTATTAGAGTAAAAGCATCTAGATGACAATTCAATCTTATTTCGTTCTGAATTAAATCTCAATCTTTATAACTATGAGACTCAACTACAATGTCAAGATAAACACAAAAGAATGCTTGAACCAATGACAACTATCTGACATCATCTTCTAGCTTAACAAGAATCAACAAAAAGAATCTTTTCTGACTTATTTTATAATTTTATTAATATCTCATCCCAACTTCCTTACATCAAATGAACCATAAAATATTCTACATAAATATTTTTACAAAGGAAATTTTTCTTTTTTATAAAAATTTTAAATCAAATTTCACGAAGCATTTTGCATCTCCAAATAGAATTTAATCAAAAGACTACATAAATAAATTAAATATTTCCGCATATTTCAGCTTTCCTGCAAAAAAAAGCAATGCTTTTGGAATTTTGCAATGCAAATTGACTTACAATAGCTTTCTCGGTCTATCATAACGTTCATAAGCGTACATTGTGGGATCTGATTGATGATATAGTCTAATGTATGAAAAAAATTCAAGCATTAGTAATCAAATCAACTTCATAACTTGTCATTCTTACCCATAATGTACTCCACTAGATGCGACCTTTTTGTTATTTTTAAAGACATAAAATAGAACTTAATAAAAAATCTCCTTAAACTTAACTTACCCTCTTCAATCCATTGATGCTTGCCAATAGCAATGCTAATTTTGCCATTAAGAATGCCTTCCCACCAAATGTCGCGAGAAATTGAAATCCCAAAGTGACGAAGAACATTAAAAAAATTACAATTCCCATGAGGACCATTTGAAAAGCATTATGATGCCTTCGGCGTCTTGGAACTTCCGCTTCCTCTATATAAAGCATGAAGAAATAATATTGAGACTTCGAGTAATGCTTATTGATTAATGTTGATATAAAATAAAATTCTATTTTTATGTCAATGAAAAATTTCACGCAAATTGATTTGCTTTGTTTTGGTCATTAAAACGGAACTAGTTGAGTTTTATGAGCTATTAAATTATTTTCTGTCTTTCAATTGAACGGTTTTTATGGTCATTGCATTCTTGAAGTTGTTGATTTCTTGTTACTGTAAGTTTAATTGGGTTATGTTGTTTATTTGTGGATTTATTGTTTGAATTGTTATGAATTATTGAATTTATTGATTGATTGTTTGAGTTGATGAGCTGCTTTGCTGACTATTGATGCTTAAAATTCTAATTAAGATGCTGATATGAATCGAATCAACTCTTTACCAAAATTTCAATTTAGTAATTTTTCAATGGATTTTCCACATCACATTTTCAACAATCAATATATCCATAAATACAGCCTTATTACCTGATATTTCAAGAGCACAAAACTCTTTAATGAGGAGCAAAACAATATTCCAAATGTGAGGTTCAACAAGTCGCTACAAGAGCTTTGAAAACAAAACTCAAATACACAGCAAATTCAAATATGAATCGAAAGCTTTCAAGGTAGTTCCAGGAAAACTTTTATCCTTTCTGTTGCATGCCAAACAAAACTGGTGAGTTTTGTTTTCTTTCTGAATATAAAATTACAGCACAGCTGGAAACTTTTCAATATTATTTTGACATAATTTTACAATGACTGTATGAGGAATTACTTCACAACAGAAGATTGAGTCTAAAAGTTGCTTGTGCACTCGACATGTCAAAAATAAGAATCGATAAACATTTATTGACATATATTGGCGATTATAAGAACCCTTCTCAAACATATTTGACGTCAAACGCTTACCTTGGAACAGCTTTGATAAATTAAACTCCAGCACGTGATTGTTCAGAAAATCGTACATCAGCGAATGCAATGTAACTTCATTTGGATATGATTTACTTTTGATGCTGTGAATGATTTGTGATTATGATAATAGTTCCATCAGAAACACCCATGAGCTTACGTTTTTGCATTCAATTCCAATCTAGTATCTGTCCTTGCATCTATACTATTGTTAGATAACGATTCGTGCTGCTTTCGAAGCTTTATACCTTTCGCTATTGATATTTCATTGTAATTTAGATAACATCCATCTCGAATGCACTCAAAACTCATAACGACACGTGATAACGTCAGGATGACGATATATTGAGCTGTAATTTTCATACTTCCAATTACGATATTGCACTTTAGTTTCTATCAACACACTAGTAATAAATGACTTGAATTGTTGTATGCAGGTGCTTTTATTGAATTTACTAACAAGAAACAATGTGAATGTGGGGGTGAGTGAAAGAGGAACTCATCAAAGCATAAGCTTTTATTATTGTCATGTGTATCAATCCAGAAAGAATTAATGAAGTTTTAGTGACGTTATGATTTATTAATTTAGAAGCTAGTTCTGCTAGTTACTGTGATGATTGCTGTCTTATGTCTAATCTTAGCCAAAGACGAATTTTTTGGTATTAGCTTAACATTTAAGGTTAGGAGGTCACATTCGTGGGTAGGTACAGGATTAAACACAAAAGCTAGATGTAGGTGAGGGGTAAAGTTATACCAAAAATTAACCTCGACCCTAATGTTAAGCACTTCCATCACTAAGTCTCATTCCAGTGAATTCGACCCATATTTTACTCCAGAACAGCATTTGACACATTTTTCCTTACAACTTGCTACAGCTGATATGTAACAGTTAAATCATGTGAATAATATTCTGATTTATGCAGCATAATTTACATTATGTCGTACATCGTATGCAGGAATAATGGCAATATTTTGTCAAAATAAATCGTTTGATATCCACGCCCACGAAAATCCATGTTGTTACAAATACATCCACGATTGATGTCCATGTGCTGAATTAAATGATTTTACGTGTTAAATTGCGTACGACAGATAACCAGAGACGTATATCTTCCAGGATATAGAAAAGGATGTAATTCAATAATCTATTTGAAGAGAATCTAGTAAGTACGTGAATTTGAAATATTAGTGATAGATTCTATGGAAACTTGACCGTACTAATTGGATGTCTTCGTAGTGGGCTTGATGGATATAAATTGAATATCGATGTGTTTCTTTGGAAAAAATCTCTTAGCTGTACATAATTAGGAAAGATTGGATTCTGTATTTATAGAATTGAAGTTTTTCTTGCTAATTGTAGCTTACTGGCTTGTCAAGGATGAGCTTTTATTTTTAATGTAAGAATCTCTTATGTTTTTTGTCCATAGATTGCTACTTAAAGATATGGGGTCGTTCACTTATGACGTCCGAAATTAACGGTCATTTTTCAAAAAAGAACAATTGATTTTCGGGAATTTCTATTGTTCTTTACTTGCTGTCCAGCACCCCTCCCCCACCCACCCCTGGAATTCATAAGTGACGGAATGTCACTAAAAGTCTAAAAGGTCAAAAGCATAAAGGCACATCAATTCATTACTAATTCATCCAACATTTTATTTCATTGAAATTTATCCTCAATTATTAAATTTGACTAGATTTCCTATAAAAACTTCAAACTTCATGTCCATAAAAAACATTTGTCTTACAAAATCAATTTATTAATTAATGATTTTACGGATCTATTAATTCTCATAACAAGAACAAAGCCCAAAACAATAGCTACAAATGAGATGTATGTAGCAATGCCTTCATAAATGAATCGAGGAGCAAATATTTTCCACACCATTAAATGTCTGCATAAAATTGTGCATGCAATCATCGATGCAAATACTTTTGTGCCTTGAAGTAGCAAAAATTGACAGCCAACCTTGAAAACTGATGTCATGAAGATGTTTTCATTTTCATGCAAATTAATTTCACCGCGCGACACACTTTTCATGTCTTTGTTGCTTTCGGAATCGTCGTTCAATGAGATTTTCCTATAATTCAATGCCGTGTCTTCTTTAGCCTTCTTGTCACTCTTGATTGGCATGTTCGGCCACAGTGCATAAATCATGAATGGTCCTATAACCAACAATGGATACAGGATCAATAACACAACATTTGAGTTGAATGTACTGAGTAGAACTAGAATTGCTGATAAAATATTTGAATGATCAAAATTAGCCGTTCGTCCAACAAATGCAGCATTCCAGTCAATTTGAGAAATGGTCGGTTGATGTGATGTACTATAAAATCCATAAGAGTACAGCAAGTACCAAGTCACAATCAGCGAGAAGCTTGGATGAAAGCATTCCTCTATGCTTGATGAACTTTCATAACGTAGAATTGAGAATATGAATAGAATTCCAGATCCAACAAATAAAATGATTACAAATCCATTGCAGACATCAATTCCTAACAGAAGGGCAAGAACAATACTCAAAACAGTCCCGAATGCTAAAAATACCGATGAATAGACTGTGGCAAGTCCATAAACAACAGGCGTTTGTGACTTATTTGCGGTTTGATCATTGATGACTTGCTTCATATGTCTATAAAGTTCCGGTATTGCATTACTGGCATCTGACAGGCTAAAACTACCATCTCTACGTGGAAGGATGTAAACTAGCAATGGACTTATGACAAAAATAATTAATTCTATAATAAACATGCCATAGACAATCCATGCTAATGTATCTAAATGCACAAAGGATGCAATTGGACGTGTCATTTGCTTTTGTGATAGAACTAAATAGCCACAAGCAGCAACAACTGACACCGTTGGACCAAATTTCATTAAAATTACATGTGGTGAATATCCAGTTAGGTTTCCATTAGCTTTAAGGAATGCTCGAACAATAGTCACGAAAATTGCTAAAATAATTACAGGAAAGACTTTCATATTACCATCCTTGACTTTAGCGACATTTTCTGTGTTTGCTAAAAAGTCCCAACAATTTCCTTGCTCTTCACGGCATTTAAAGAACATTTGGGACATTCTTAACAATCCAATTGTGATAATAGCAACAATAACAACTTTTGATGACGTTGTTTGGAAAAGTCCAGTTATTTTAAGCTTCTTCATATCCACAAAGCTTGCTGCTTTTCGATACTCATGTAAGGCATGGATGATTTGAACGATGAGTAAGAAGCACAGAATGTATTGTTCCTGAACAATGAAACTATTTGAAAAGAATACAGCGATGGAAAATGCAAAACTCATTCGGGACATCAAGTTGATAAATTTATCTGCTGACATCATCGATTCCACTATTGTTGTCCAATTTTTGATGATGATGTATCCAAAGAATAGAACATGACAGATACTTCCGAGGAATAAAGCCGCAATTATTTTATTATCCCATCCAAAGTTCTCGTGCATGACATATCCAATATTAACAGCAATGACACTGGCCCATGCTTGATAGACAAGGAGCTTCTTTGTGAATATATTTGAGAATTCAGAAACTGGAATATTGTAGATGATGATGAAAAGTACGAAGATTCCAAGGAAGGAAAGCAGCATGCCTTGAACCATCAGCTGTGGATTGAAATTTATCCAAATATTTCTACAAAGTTCCAACATTGAATCCAGTGTCAATCTTAAGTCTTTTGATACGCTCTTAAATGCTTCCTCATTAAAAATTGTGCTGATTCTTAACTCAAAAATCTCAAATTTTGTGTTGATCCTGTCTAAATCTTCATGTGCAAATATATCTTTGTGCTCGTCCGAGTATGTTGAAAAGTAATTCTTAATTTGCTTAGCATTGTGCCATAGATGCATAGACAATAATTCGTGTCTTTTGATTCCCTTGTAACTTACATCAGGTAGAAGCTTAAAATTAATAGTTCCAAGGTTTGAAAACGGAATTGGAATTCCTAAAATTGTCGATAAAGTTGGTGTTAAGTCAATCTGCTGCATAAAATCATCGTCATGTCCTAAATGTCCATCTACAAACTTCTTCTTAGAATAAGCAAATAAAAGTGCGTCAGTTTCATCGGAAGTAGCTCCTCCATGATCACCAGAAGGCAATGTCATTCCGTGATCTCCAAAAACGAACAATGTCGTGTCTTCGTCGATACTTTCAGCCAGCATTTTTATCATATCATTCATTTCCGTCAACTTCCTGCTCATTTCATGATGTAATGCTCCATGTTTATGTCCACAATGGTCAACGCCTAGAAAATGAGTTATAATCACGTCCCAGTCTGGTTTCTTTAGTTCTGTTGGTAAAATTTTCATAATTGCTGGAAGTACAAAAAGATCCAGTTAGGGATTTATCAAGGATATTGAGAATTGAATGCTCACCATTATCTACACTATCTAAATCATGTATGTTAAAGCTAGGATAAGCGTATGATCTCTTAAATCTCTTTGGAAATAGCTCTGTCCATGTATTATCGCCAGCAAAGACAACTGTAAGATTGTTTGCAACCATTTGATCAATTATATTGTCCTCATTGATCTCTGGAGTCGCAAAATTAGATCCCATGTCTATAAATGTCGGTAAACTTCCAGTTGTGATTCCTTTCAGTCTTTGTAAGGTCGTTGTCGGTGGATCAGCTATAAATTTCATAAATCTACTGTTGTCTGGATGTTTTTTGAGCAGCTCATGTATAATTGGCAGTTTATTTTGATAAGGAAGTGGATCATTAAGTTTTTCATTGAAGACACCAAACTCAAACTTTAAAGCATCAATCAGTACAATGATGACCTTACTTTTCTTCTCAAAACATAAATTTTCAGCACTAGAACTGATATTGCTAACGATTTCAAAGACATTTTGATTGCTACATGCTTTCTGTAGATTTTAATAGATAAAATGTGTCAAGAACGCAAAGATTTATGTCATAAATTTGTTTACATACCTTATTATCGCTATCGCTTATGCAGTAATTCTCATCTAATTTAACGTAAAACTTATCACACTGTCTTTTCTCGGTTCTTGAGTCTCGTGTCAATAAAAATCCCTTGGAGAATATATGAATGCCCGATGAAATAATGAATGCAAATATAATTAACACGAATAGATACTTAACATAACTCATTTTAAAGGAGGAAATAAAATTTCTGTGTGAAATTACTGATTAATGACTGACTTAACGAATTGTTTATTTTCTATGCATCATTATCATGCTGTAAAGCTGCTTTTATCCTCACTTTGTCCATTTGTATGTCTACTGGATCTGACTGGATCTTTGAATTATAATTACTAAAATAACGGTAAAAATAATTTTAAATCTACAAAAATTTTGAGCATAAAATTCAAAAATATACTGACAGTTATTTTAAATGCGCTTCTGGTTATCATATATTGACTGGCTTATGTTGAAGCACATATTAAGCTTTTAACGAAGGAATATCTCGTCAAAGTCGTAAAATTGGAGACTTTGTGCTGTAAAGTAAGAAATTTAAACAAATTCAAAAAACAAAGCGCATTTTTAAACTAATCTAACTTAGACTCCTTTTCCAAATGTTTCCTTTCTATCAATTTTAAAGGCTAAAGTCCTGACGAAATAATGTAAATTTGTATGTTTGAATTGTCTCATATTTTACACATGGACAGACGGACAAAACAAAACTCTTGACTCAACTTCATTCTAGTTCAAAAAATGCTCAAATAAACGTAAACAAACCAAAAAAAAATATTTTTTAAAGATTTTATTAATTAAAATGTATGGTGATTTATGCAGATTCTGCCTGAGTAATATTTCAGATAAATCAGCTGTCTCTCTTAAAAATCACGAGATATTAGTTTGTGTAGATAAAAAGTTGATTGATTTAAAGGAAATTCTCAAATTTCTGCTTTTAAATTATTCATATTGTGAAAATTTGCCGAATTTAATATGCAATGAATGCAAAAACATAATAATTAAGTACTACTCACTGAAGAAAACATTTCTGGAGAATGAAAAGACACTAACAGCAAAATCACAGACTGTGAATAAACATCAGAAATTGCACAATTTAATTTCAATAGTTGAGGAGTTTTGCAGATATTTGAACGACGAGGACTCTTTAAATGTGCTTAATTATAGTGATAGGATTGTCATTGAGAAATGTGCTGAAGAAAGGTATGTAAAAGATCCAGAAATATTAGTTTGTAAACTTTTGAGTACTTGATGGTGATTTTGGATGTTTTAAAGAGAATTGAGCATGAATAGGAAGCTAAAAAGGATAGAAAGTGTTGACATTCTATAAATATTTCGTTATTTTAAGCAAAATTGTTTAAAACCCAAGATCCAGTGCTGTAATTTCCGAATATTAGCGTGTTACTTCAGTTGCTTCCAATAACCGATCTGTTCCTCTTTCTAATGCTGTTATTCATCTAAAGTACCTCATTTATCCTTAAAATTAAATTTATAATCCATTTATTTCCAATTTTTAGAGTCATTGAAGATGATTTACTGGATCACACTAAGAAAGAGAATATCCCAAATCAAGTCATAATTCAAACTATTCAGGAAGACGAGGAAGAGGCAACAAACTACATCCAGTACGTTGATGAAGAGTATATTGATAATGAAAGTCTATTGAAGTGTGAATCTCAAGATCTAATAGCAGCGCAGACAATGAAAGCTGAGCATGAACAACAGGAAATTTTTCATGAAGATGATTTGCAGTATCAAGTTAACGCTGAATCAAGTACAGCAAGTCAAGAGACCGAATATGAAATTCAATTTAGCGATCCAGAAACGTTGGAAAATGAAGAAGATTGCGACAAGTCTAGTGAACTAGAGACAATTTATGAGAACGAAAACCTGCCCCTAAATGTAAAGCTTAACGTGAGAAACAAACGAAAGCACAAAGTGATTCAAGATAATTTAGAAAATGGATTAATAGCCAAAAAGTACAAAGTATCTCTAGTCGATTCCAACGTTGTTGTGCAGGAAGATGACGAAACTAATTCCTTCATGTGCTCAAACTGCTCTAGTGTCTTTACAAATGAGAAAGCTGCCAATGATCATGTCATGAGATATGGAAAATTTCAGTTCTGTACGCTTTGTAGATGTGATGAATGTTCAGTCATTTTTTCCTCACAAAAGTCATTCCAAAAGCACAAAAGCTTCCACATACTGTCCAAAATATCGTCGATATTCAACTATTATGACTGCCTTCACTGCAACGTGTCGTTTGGAAATGACAAGGATTATGAGAAACACATAGAATGTCATGCTGAGAATGAAAATTATTTGTACAGCTTTGATGGCAAGCCACAACTTGAAGGATGTGAATTATTCAAGTCTAATAAAGACGAGCTAATGGATGAAAACAGTTGGACTTGTGGACATTGTGGCTTGAGATTTGGACTTAAAAATGACCTGAATTTCCACATGACACTATTTCACGCGAGCCTTTATTGTCCATTTGACAGACAACAGTATGGAAAGTCTGTATCTTATCTTATTGACCACTTGAAAATGAAACATGCAGAACAGTTTGGAAATGAAGAGATAACATTCAGCTGTTCTCATTGCTTTGAGGAATTCAGTGCGAAAAATGAAATGAAGGAACATGAGAAATATTGTGACAGTAAGAAGTTTGACTGTCATCACTGTGAAAAGAAGTTTGCATTAGAAAGGCAACTAAAAGAGCATCTAGAAGCTGTCAATGGAACCATGAAATTTACCTGTTCCAGCTGTAAAAAGAAATTTAACAACAGATCGTCACTTACAGTCCACTTGAGAATTCATTCAAAGGAACGACCATACATCTGCACATTTGATGGCTGTAACAAAGCTTTTCGTACAAATTCACATCGTAGCTCCCATATGGATGCACACAATGAGACTAAGAACTATAAATGTCAATACTGCGAACTTTTATTCCAAACCAGAGCAGCTAAACGTACTCATGAGAAATCTCACAGTTACAGCCACATATGTCCTTTATGTCATAAGGATTTTAAGCAGCGAAGTCATCTAGTTAGACATGCTAATATTGTGCATAAGATTATTTGTGGAAGTGCAAATCTTGAAGCTGAAATTGATAAAATGGATGAAGGTCGGATCAAGTTTTAGTAGAATAAAAATGATGAGTAGTTATAAAAATAGAATTGAATGAATATTGCTTTATTTTTGTGAGATTTGTTGTCTATTTTTTATTGTCATTGTCTAAAACTGGATACTGCTACAAAGCAGGGGATGCTGGATCTATTTTACGAATTTTATCACAAAGTTACAAGTAAAGTCACGCTGATAGACATAAGAAAAACTCATCAACATGCTCATTAGTTCCTAAAACCTCTCAATAGTAACAGTTTCTTCAGGCATTCTCTGCGAATCAGTCTTCTTCTTATTCCATTGTTTCCTCACCTTCCTTACAAAATACAGCACAATATGATATAAAATTTCTATGAATGAAAGAACTGAGCATCCCATAAAAAGTCCTAAAAGACCGCCAGAGTTTGATAGGAAGTCAGACCAGCCATAGATTTCATATCTCTTTAATCGACTGAAGTATGGCTCTTTAAAGTAAATGTTGAGATTTGCGTACGAGAATCTAAAGGATGGATATTACAGACAATTAAGGAACAACAAAAAAATAAATTAAAGATTCACTCACTCATCCTTAACAGCATCATAGTCAGTCTGTGAGATTTCAACATTGTAACTGATTGATGTGCATGAAGGCAAGCAATTACACGAGACCATTTCCTCTATAGCTTTCTTTCTCGGATCATTTTTCGTTGCCTTTCCATGCTTTATATCCCTTTTAAGTTTTAGTTCCATTAGATTTTTCTGTGACTCTTCTGTCGTAAAGTTTAGTTCCGCCTGATGTACACACTCAAGCTTTGAGTTATCACAGACATCTGAGTCATTCGTATGAGGCATGGAGAACTTAACACAGCCACATTTCCTCATGATATAATCGGCTTTGCATTCTAAATCACAATTTGTTTTTGAATAAATTTTAAAGTACTTCAATTTTCGTTCCTTGATAAAGTAACAGCCACGCTTTTCAGGTAAGTAATTCTTTGTGTCTTTCGACGAGTAAATCATGTCGGGTTTGACGATTAAATTCGTTTCACGTTGGAATGGAACATTGTAAAATTGTTTCGAGATTTGTGGTGACTCAACTGGCATGTGTAATGAGACCCGGAAGCCGTTGATTCCGGATACACATGACGAACACAGCATTGTAGAATTAAATTTAAACTGTACTGATAAGCCTGATTGAAGTCCTGCTCCCATAACTCTACGTGGATAAATGTTAATCTCTGCGGAGTCATAGTCTTTGTCAAGGAACCAACTTGATTTAAAATCGTGCTTTGGAACATGCAAATCAGGATGCATTGATGTCTTGTCGACATAATCTTTATAGCTCAGCATATTGAATGAATAGCATATGCCGACATCTGTCAAGATTTTATCAAAAATTTTGTCACAATCTTCAAATTTCCATGAAGCATATCGACACTTTTCGAATATATCATTTTGTGAAAAACTCATCTCATCCAATAATTTGATTATATTGATATTGTCTGTACGATTTTCAGCTTTTTCCTCGTAAGCAAGATTATCGCAGACATGAGACATTGCTGCAATTCTTTTCGATTCTTCTGCTGTAAAAATTTGATCTTTTCGACTGATTGCATCCGTCATATTTAATTTATTACATTTTGCCTTCATTTCTGGACAGATTGTTATGGCTGGAAATGGGATGTTAAATGTTGGCGATAAGAGTTTTGATTGGGATACCATTACTGGCTTTTCTTCGCGTTTTTCGTAAATTGTCATCATGTTTTTAATGCAAAATGATACAGAAATCACAAAGACTGAGATCCAGAAAACTCTGTGGGATATAAAGTTGTAAACTTAATGCTGAACATAATTAGAATAAGTTTAAGTACTAATTAAAAAGCTGCATGAAGAAAAATTGATTTTTAAAGTCGAAATTAACTCATTTTTGAGTCAAGTTGACTTCAACTTGTTTCCATTTACCTTTCAAGCCAGTGCTGTTTCTTTTCTCCTAAATATTTGATTCCATGAATTGTCGATTCTTTCGAGTAACTATCGATTAACTCCCATGGAACTGGAACAGCTTCAAAAAGATATTGTAAATTAAAATATATCCTTTTATGGGATTTTTGCAAGTTTTCGTTTGAAGATCAAATGTAAAGCATCTTTTTGAGAAGTTATGACTTCTAAAGCTATTTTAAAAACTACCCTTTAGTGAATCTATTGATCAAAATCATTTCTAGGCGCATCTCGCATTACACTTAAACAACTTAAATACCTGGATCAGCCAAAGGCAATTGGTGTTGAATTTGTATCACCATTTTGGATCCTGAACTTTAATAATTAATGTTCACAGCTTAGAAGCTAACAATACATTAAACAGCGCATTACTGATGCTTTTATAGAAACTTTCAATAATAAACCAAATGAAAATAGAATTAAAGATTTCAAAAAATGATTTGAATCACAGACCTTATTCAACTAGGACGTCAAGCATCTTCAATACTAGCATATTAAGACATTTAATGAAGAATCTGTGACGTGACAAACATGAATGAATACACATAAAATTGAGGATGGTTTGGTAATCACACATGAATATTATTAAATTGGTATCTAATGGAATTGATAGAATCAGAAATGATGGATTTGACCAGCAATTATTTTTCAAGCAAATTGTTTTTGATATATTTTCTATTTATGTCTGACATGCGATTTTTGGACACAATTCAAAGACGTAACTTTTTATGACATGTGAAATTCAAATTTAATCTTTGTAGATTCCAAAACTTTGTCTAATGATTGATCACAGAATACACAAATCCTTGAATAATACCTTCATCAGGAGAAGGATGAAGATTTCTTCTAACTCTCATCATTTTTCACAAATAAATTGTTTAACCGATTTTAAAGAAAATTGATCTGCTTTCTTTGAACGTAAATTAGATACTAAAGAGATTCTTCATCTCAAATCTCATCTTTTGCAAGCCTCTATTTCATGAGAATACGCAACAGTATATATTTACGCGCGGATCATTATCAGTTACGCAGAGAATGTAGAAAAGATAAGTGTATTTGGAATCAATTTGAAGAAATGCTTAATGACCAGTTTAACAACATTAGAGATAAAACAAGAATATATATCTTATAAATAGAAATCAATTAGATAGATTAGCTATCTGTCTAGTTTGGAAGAGGTTTAGCAATAGGCTCTCGTTCTTAAAAGGAACTCAATCAATCTTTAACTCAAATCTCAGATTATGTTCAAACATAAAATTTTGCTAAAGAACCTTTTTACCTTTTGCTGAATATTTCCTCTTAAAAATAACCATGATTTGTTTATGCAAACTTTTCTAAAAATGCTAAATAGATCAAAACAGCAACTTTATCTTTATGTTTTTACTTCTTTTTAAATAAATTGCCTTTAAATTATCAATTTAGAAATATTTATAATATTATTTTAAACTTCTTTCTCTTCTCGGATGCACAGCAAGACTCTTCATTTACTTCACTCAATTACTCTTTATTTCACAACTAGGTGTTAGCATTCAATAAGATCATCTGTGTAAATAAAACAGTAGAATCTCTCTCGCTTTTTTGTTTAAATATTGTTTATTATGAATTAGTCATTAAATTGTTGGGCAATTTTTATCAATTATTCAAGAAGCCACATTCACACTGTTAAATTAACACACAGCAACTACCTTTGCAGTATTTGGAATGCACCAAAAAACTTAACTTCACCAACTACCTGTTACATATTTTTCAACACACTATTAAAATTGTTGCATAATTTGCGAATGTTCGCTGTGCATATATGCTTGAAAATTCAATTGTTTTTCTGCAATAAATTGTTGCTGTATTAGTGGATATGTCGATGTGGTCATCAATGATAATGCGAAGAAGATATAAAGAAAATAAAAATTGAATTGCTGTGCAAAGCATTTCTGATAAGTATCTAGAAGTTTTCGGTAATATATGCGGACGATGCAAAAAGGAAAGTTTGTATTACTTTTGGGATGACTAGATTGGGATTGAATGTTTGAGATATAGACTCAAATTTTTTTTGGAGATTTGAGATTGAGTTTAAGGTCAGATTCTTATCATTTTATGTAAGTATATCACTCATTCCTCCTCTTTTGAGGATAAGGCTAAATTAAGTGAATCATGAGATATGAAATTTTATCAAAAATTTGAAGTCGAATCTAAAAGTCTTAAAAATCTAGTATTTTTGCGCCAAAAGCTTCAACCCTAATACTTAGATACAAGGCTTGAGCCTCACCTGAATCTTCACACAATATTGTGACATTATCAAACAAATTGGAAGGCATTGAACTGATTGGGTTTCTTTTAACTATTTAAAACTTTGTAGTGCTTGTCTTTTAGTTTTTCATTCAAATTTCACAATAAGTCTTGGTATATGTTGCTTTGTCTGTCTTATTTTCATTCAATTCCTTCACGATAATGTAGTCACTTAGTCTAGTTTAAGATAATTAAGGCAATACTCTAGTCTAAAATTTTCATTTCGCACATTTTATTTGCATCAATATCAGATAATATGCTCAATTTTTAGAAAATCTCTTGCGAGAGTTGAGATTCAGGAAAACAAACTAAATTTAGAATTAAAGTCTATGAAATCCAGAGAAATTTTGAACTCCACCTTAAATAAATGAATCTTAAAATTGAAAAATTAATCTTTAATCTGAATGCATTTCCCCAATAAATCTTAAACTGAACAAATTGATGCATTCAAAACAAATAAGAGAATCCAATTCCAATTTAAATAAAATTAACTTCCATTTAAATAAATTTCCTTGACATTTAATTTCTGCAGACTCTTTTTAGACACGATAAAAAGAATGGAAATAAGAAAAAATGAATAATTTTTTAAGGAAACGAGTTTTTCCATGTGTGACAAAAAGTAAATTCATTTTATAGGAAATACGTTCAAATGAACACATGTCATGATTTTTGTGTGTATTGAGACTCATTTATGTTAAGATGTGAATCCCTTTGACATTTCACTGTCAATATGTGATATGTGTTCAAGATCAACGAACATTTTGATGTCTTTTTCTTCTTGATGGTAATGAAAATGAACAGCTACACCTAATTGTTACGCATTTTCAGTAAGTACAAATGAAAGCTTCTTTGATTGTATTGAGGAACATACTGAAATATCCATCTGAAGCTAATAACGATAACGTAGCTTAGGAGTCAATTTGAAATATCTTCTTAATATCTGATTCTTAAGTTTTCAAGTAAAATTCAAAGTTTAATATTATATGCTCCTTTTCGAGACATATTTGCCATTGCTGTATGTTCAGTTTAAAATTTAATTTAATTCATCGGCATTTACAGGTGTTTTTATCTCCTGAACTAAACTTGTGTAGATATTTCAATGCATAATAATAAACAATTCAAAAACAGCTTCAACAATTTTGGTGTCTTGACATACTCTAAATACCGAAGAGATCTAGAAAATTTATAAACAAGAAGATGCTTCTTCTTGCACCTTTTAGTTGCGTCTGTTTTTCAAAATTTAGATTATTTTAAGATTTTTATGGGTCTTTGTAGTTTATGGCTTTGTACTTGGAATTATTTGATCAGATTTCATTTACGGACATAAAAAATCAACAAAGAATTGCGAATTTGGAGATGATATATTATTTTGAATCAAATTAGATGAACCAAAGTCTATTCTGTAAAATATATGATAAAGACCTTTAAAGGATTAAAGTTTACTTTTCAAAATGTTTTGAAAGGTTGGAATTTAAATTGAAATTAACAATTTGGAACTGATTAAATTGATTCAAAATGATCTAATTTGAAATAAAAAATCTAATTTGAGATAAAATTAATGAAAATTATAAAATAAGCAAAAGTCAGTTCTGAAACTTTATTTGAATCATGATTTCTTGTTAATTTTATTAAATAATTGAACAGAGGCTGAATTCGACTTGAGTTCGTTCAATTTGAATCAATTTGAAAAATATTCGAAATTTGAATTGGTTTAAACGAACTCTAGAGTTTTGATGAATCTGAAAAAAGTGTTAGATTTCTGTGTTAAATGATCCTGAAAGTTATAAATCTTAAAGTGATTAATTAAAAACCTCCAGCAATATAATTTTTAGAATTTCTCTTTAAAGTTCGAAAAAGGAATTTTTTTAACTTTTTTTTTATTCATTTATCATTTTAATGTTTCTCATAATCACAAAACTGTTAATAATCATTTTGTTTTTTTTTTCCTCTTGTATCATTTTCTCCTTATTCTTATTAAAATTAAAAGAACTTTTTATTTTTCACTTTTATTTTCATCTTAAACTTTAATGTTCATTTTTTTACTATTCATTAAAAAAATATGTTTAGAGAATAAACCTATCATTACTTAATTTTTTTCTTCATTTAATCATGATTTATTCCACTTCCATCACCTTCTAATTAATCAGTACAACAACAACAATGTAAAATGCGAAAAATTTTCATTTAATTAAAAAAAATCTCTTTATCTTGTGTGTGACTGTGTGTGGAGAGGGCCGTTGGATAGAGAGATAGGGTAGGTAGGTAGATAGTAGATATAGAAAGGGAAAAATGATGTGTCTATGTGTGATTTCTTTATATTATAATCTTCTTACAAAAAAAGTTGTGTGTGTGTGTGTGTGTGGCTGTATATATATATAATGAAATGTTATATTCATTGAACTTATCTCTTCAATTTTTCCATGATTTAATTTTCTTCATAGACATCCGCTTTAATCTCGTAATTGTTGATAAAAAGTCATCTTTCGATTCCTCCTCTGATAAAGTTTCACCCTCGGAATAGTGCGATCGATGATGATGATGATGCGTTGATGAATATGTATAATCCATAAATTGATCGGGGCTATATTTGTGCTTTGTTTTACGTTCTGTATGTGAGTCAGCTGATTTTGCCTTGATACGTGACGTTGTTGGATCACTGAGCATCGATTGTATGGGAAATTTTGATGGACGTGTTGATATGCTGATGCCTTTGCCTTTATCGACTGATTTAACTTTCCTTAATATTGACGGTGTCGATTGTCTCTCTTGAATGATAAAACGTCCAAGTGCCTTCCAACTTGCTTGTGTCTTATAAACATTCTCGTCTTGCTGCATAAGCCGTTGATGAACAGGCGTATTTGTATTATTTGGTTGAATCTCTTCGAGTAAGACGAAATTATTTGGATTATCAAAACGGCGTGCTTTCAGCAAAGCTTGTGCTAATACATCTTGAGCTGTTGCCTTTAATGGTACTCGTAACATAGCATAAGGTATATCCGGTGATACATTATATACACACACGACAAAATGTTCAACATTCTCAATCAATGCTAAGTCATTTGATGATGACTGTGATGATGTTCCTGTATTTAACGTTGTATGGAGATTATCTTTGGCATATGCTGTTGACATGTATTCTGATTGTCGATCTAAGGCTGCGCCAACTCTACGTACAGTACTCAACCATGCACGACTGCTTGGATCATCACCGATTTTCTTTAATATGAAACGTCCTTCACCTTTCCACTTTCCTTGTGCCTGTAATGGCTTCTCGGATTCATCAAGCATCCTTTGCTTTGGTGGCTGTAAACGATCTTTCTTCTCCCATGATGGAAAGACTTCCTCAAGAAGCACAAAGTCATTGAGATTTTCTAACGGAATTCCACCTTTAATTAAAGCTTGCTGTAAAACATCCTTTGTTGTACTCTCTTGGATAACTTTAAGAATTGTATATGGCTCATCAGGCGTCACTCCATAGACTGTTAAAAAGAATGTTTTCCTTTTACCTTTATCATTATCATTATTCAATTGATTGTTTAACAATTTCGATTCCATTGCCGATAAGTTTGTCTTCACGCGATCCAATACCGATTCATCATAACAACTATCAATAGTTTCTTCCTCAATGCGCGAATAAATAAAAAGCGATGCCATATTTAATAGTAAATTAGTCGACGACCGTAAACAAATATGACGATAACCCGAACGTAACGACTTGATAGACATAACTCGTTGTGCTAACATGAATCCACCATCAGAATCATAAACAGCAAAACGTATAAATGCTAAATCGATGAAATTAACTCGAAAATAAAATGTCTCATTCCATATAGGATTGAATGCATTACGCATTATTGCTTTTGTTTTACGTTTACAACAATCACCTGGTATTCCAATAATTTCTATTTCAATATAGGGACTAGATAACAAATTATTTTGGTTCAAATATTGTCCACTGACAACATTTATAACAATTTGTGTCGTATGTAAGCCATCAAATTCTTTGTCAAGTGGATTGAATCGACGATACATTAGATGTGATCGATTCCACATTATAGCCGGCTTACAAACGTAGCCGTGATTATTTGATTGCTCAAACATCGCACGGTTGATGTGCATCGGTAAGTCTTCTGTTTGATAATTTAATGCGACCATTTGCATACCGAAACTCCAGAAAAAGACTGGATTAAAATTCGATGAATCGATACGTAAACCAGCCGGATAAGTTCTTATCAATTGCGTCTCGGTGTGTGCAATGACGGCTAACGGATGTTTACGACATATCTTCTTTGCATTTGCTTCATTTATCGATGCGCACTGATAGCACGGATGGTTTACATTTGCATGAGGATATTTCTTATGTACGGTTGTAACATTATTAGTACTTCCAATCTGATACGATGTTGATGCTGATGATAATGTCTCTTGCTCACCTGATGTATTTGATTCAGTCTCAGCACTCGTATCAGCTGCTGTTGTTGTTGTGATTTTAATAGTTGAACCCGTCACACTTACCGACGATGTATTTGTTGTGGTCGTTAAATTTGTTGTCAGCGCAATCGTTGTCGATGATGTTGAAAGTGGTGTACTTGTGCCATTTCTTTGATTTAAATTATAATGTATCCATGGATTTAAGCCACGAAACTTAATCGCCTGAACGTATGTCACCAAATCAGAAAGTTCTCGTGCTATCTGATTACTTCGCTTCTTCGATCGCTCTTCCATCTCCAATTTCCTCACATTTGTTGTAAACGATGTAATACTATGTCGCGTGTATTTATCATCTATCGATGATCCCCAAATATTGTAAGTTTTATCATCAAAATTATCAATATCATCATCGTCCTCATAATCGCTGTCTTCAAAGTCCTCGTTCAATGAACCAGCTGAACTATTTGATATGATTGAGCTTGCACGTCCACTCAGATTACTCTGATGACGCATGTATGGACTTCTACAAATAAATATTTTATTTTGGATGTTACCAATCAGACTTAATGGACAGCAATGACATGCAATTTTATCAATTTCTTACCTTGGCGAACTTATGCTGACCGGAACATCAACTAATATCTTCTTATTCTTAACAATTATTTTATGCCGCAATTGTTCTGGTGTCGGGAGATATGGCTCGTCCGTAAAATCAATATCGAATGTGAATTTCGTCACGAGCTTTTCACCAAAAACGGTCTGTATTGATAAATGAGAAGAATATGTTGATTAAGAAGAAGGTTGTGCAGAACAAAAAAATGAGTATGCAATAAATTTTTGAAAAATTGGTGAATCATTTTGATCAATTGATGCTCTCATGTTTTGGATCTATGAAATATTGTGGTAAATTGAATAAGTAGCAGATGTAAATGGATGAGATGTGATAACATTTACATCAAATGGATATTCCATGTTTTGATGAATGATTTGCAAGCATTTGGGACTTATTTTTAGAACAGAAGTAAGCTACTGGGATCTTGAATGACTGTCATAGGTGAATAACACTAAAGTTGAGCTTGCATGGCAGAATTTGGCACCAAATCGACCCTATGCTTCTGACTGACCTACATTAATCCAGCTCAAACATTTCAATACACAACCTGATTAATTTAGGTCAATGCCGCTTTGTGTCTTGAACTACGCAGAACAAGAGTTTCATTGATCTAGGTACACAGACTTTCATAAGCATCTGGGTAAACAAAAAATTATTTTGAGGTTATGAATTGCTCGAGCTGTGTTAACTGACATTAAGCTTATGACTAAAATTATCAAATAAGAGCTTCTATATCTCAGATCCACAGGATTAGCATAAATATTTAATATCAATATCTAATTGATTTCAGAAATATCCATAAATCTCTCACATATTCCATTTATTGACACTCATCTAAGAATCATGGAGTGCTGTTCATAAAAGCTTTTAAGACTCTTTCGAAAAATCTCATATGATAAGTTGGATTAGCATCCATGATTCCAAAAATATGATCAAGGTTGAAGAGAATAGAAAATCCTTAATTTTGTGCCTAATACAAGAGATTTTTCACGAAAGCTTATTCTCCTTCCAATGTCGAGTGCTGAATTCTCATAAAAAAATTTCATCAAGTATGTAAGTTGCTTTACACATCTTATATTCATAAATTTTTATTGAAATTTGAATAATTCATTTCTTAATTAAGCATGTTCTCAGTAATAGGTATTATGACAAGCAAGAAGTATGTCATATTCGCATTAATCTGCTACAAAAACATAACTTTTACAATCAAAAATATTACCACGGGATGTATTACTTATGCGGGTCTGAGGATGTTTGGAAACTTAGAAGATGATAAAGGTGGGTAAGTATGGACTCGCTAGCTACGCTTATGGTCCACATAGAAGTCAAAATTTTCCAGATTCCCAACAAATCCAAAGAGCAATAGATCCACAGAATTTACATAACTTCCGTACAACTCCCAAACACAAAAGACAATACATACCTGAAATATTTGAGCCATACGAATTTGCTGCTGCATCGAACAATGATTCTCAATACTTAAAATAACAGGATATGGACTAGCAACAAATGCCGACTTATTAATTGCATCGACAACAGCACGAAATGGAATTTTCGAAGTAAACGTATGACCATGATAAATTATTGGATATCCATCATCACCATCCCAACAATCCAACTCAACACAACGACATCCCGTCAACAAAACTTGACTATATAACTCTACTGAACTTTCGCCTTTTAATTGATGACCCGTTAAATACGTATTATGTGATGTGGCAATAAAATAATGCGATAATGGCAAATTCATATTCATTTGTTCAGCCATTTTCGTTGGACAAACTGTTTTTGTCATCGCATAATTATCTTTATCCATTAAGTAGCGTGAAAAACCTTCGAAGCTTAACAGATTTTCCGTACGAAGATTTTGATCCGGCTCATGGCGCTGTGGATTGGATAAAACATAAAAAGATTTATGAGATGATTGATTCAGAATTGGTTTTTGTGTGTTCGTGTGCTTTGGATGAAGCTTTTGGGGATTTTTCAACAAGAAATTAAACTATTGACCCAAGCATTTTCATTTTATGGACTGAAATGATGAATGATTAGGATGCCTGTCAACATAAAAATTTTTGATGAACTATAAAAACAAGGGGATAACAACATGATGAGGAATATTTTTGATATTAAATTTCCAACGATTTTCTTTAAATTTCTTCCAAAATATAATCAATCAATTTCAATCAAAACTTTTTTCCTCATCATGTTGTTTCCCCCCTGACATAAAACAAAGAAAATATCCATAAAGCTTCTTCCAAGAACCTTTTTAAGTCGCCTTCATGACGAATTACCTCAATAATCATTTTAATTTCACTATCACTCATCGATTCCATTTGACGTGTCTCTAAAAATTTCTTAAACGTGTCTAGTGTAATCACTTGAGTGTTACTTGAAATTGATGGATTGCCTGATGAGATTTGCATTGCTGCTAATGGACTGTTGTAATTACCACAATAGCCAAAATTCCTAATAAGTGTATGAAACAGTTTCTTTTGTGAATATTTCGATTGCGATAATTCAAAGTCAAGTGAATTATTACGGGTGAGTAGTCCTTAATAAGAAAGTAATGAATAAAGGGGAGAATCAATTAATTTAATTAATTAAGTATAGTCATGATGTTTATTGCTGTGTGCTGTTGAAAAATCTATAGAACTATCCGATGAACTTTAATGATTTATATCTGTCTGTTAATGGAGAAGTTATGTACACACTTAATCAATGAATCGAGTTGTTGCATATGTTGCTAGGAACAACTGAATTATTATTCAATTCTCAACAAATTCAATTCATTAATGAATTTCCCGGTAAAATAAAATGAGATTGTGAATTGATGGACGGTGTAAATTGAAGTATTATTTAATTATCACAGTAGCGTGGACTGGATATGGACTGCATTAAGGAGTCGAACATCATTTGAATTTAATAAAAGAATCAAAGCTTCATCTCCAGCTTGAAATTTAATCTTGCATTTTTGCTAAGACTAGAACCAATGATCACCATTTAAGCATCACAATAAATAAATAAAGAAGCTCAAATCTACTTTGTTATAAAGCCACTCAAGCTCTTAAAAACCGAACAGAATGTTCCAATCCACTCACAACTCCCAAAACCCTAAACTTCAACATTTTATGACACTCAACTTCATAACCTAAAATTGTCATTGAGAAACAATATTTATTGGACCCCAAAAACATGTCATCTCAAACCTCAAAAGACTGTCAGTCATCTCCTCATCTTCATGTAAAAGATCAAAAAGCAGAAAAAAGTTTTTATCTTCAATGTTTTTTACAGTCATTGGCCCCAACTGAGGGAGAAAAGGAGCATCATAAAAGATTGACAGCCAGCTGACATGTAACGTACCGAAAAAGAAAAACTTCTTGTTGCCATTTTTGAATTAATTATTTAATTTCTATGTGTCTCATAGGATGGGCGTTCTTAAAGGTTAGTAAATGAGGCATAAGACGAAGATGTATCAAGTTTCTAGGAACTGTCGAGGTAGAAGACAAATGACTAACAATTTTCGACTTTGAATGTTCTATAAATCTTTTACATAGCATGGAAATCAGCAATTAATTAGTGAAGGGGGTCCTCGGTTTGAATAAAATCGTTTAAGGTTCAAATTCTTTTTTTTACCAAAATGTTTGAATCTTTCTGAGATAAATTTTTATTCATTTGAAGGACCCTCGTTCCATTAATGAACTTTACTTACCAATTTTTCTCTTCTCAGGTTTTTCATGAAAAAGTTCAGGCGCACTTCGGCTTTTATCACTATTTAACGTAATTTTACTCTTCCTAGTTACTGATAATTGGTCAAATATATCACGTAAATCTTTTCGTGCAATTAAACTGAAATTAAGAAGATTAGAAGGAAGAATACATGAATTTGTGTGTGGGCTTGTAATGGACATGATGGAAAAGTAAAATTTCCATAGAAAATCATCGATAATTACCTAAATGATCGATAGAGTGAAACAAATGAGAGAAAATCTAAATTAGTATCAAATGATATGTTATTAAATGCGTTATAACGTTTAGATGAGATGGATGTAGTTGTATCACATATAGATGAAGATATTGTTGATTGTTGTTGTGTTGGAGTCATCTGTTGATGCTGATTCTGTGCAATATTATTTGTCATTATGGGTGATGTTGAACTTTGAGGTTGTCCACATGTAAATAAATTCACCATTGATTTTTTCTTCTTTATTGTTGTAGATGATGTGGGTGTTCCTTGTTGATTTGATGATTGTGATGTCTGCTGACAAGATTGTTGTGTTATATCTTTTTTTACACCGTGCGTTGAGTCTGGTGTTGAGGTTGTTGTTGACAAAAATGTGTAGTCTGTCCCGCCAAACGCCTTCGCACAAGACAAAAAGAAAATTGTAAAGTTTTAGTGATTCAAATGACATCTCCCGTGATATCATTTGCCATTGACTCTAAAAGAATGTGATGGAATTTCACCAACTTTCCCACCCAGCAACACAAAACTAAACTCAAAGATAATTTAAATCAAAATAAAATGTATTTACATACCCTTATCGCATCAGATGCTAAAGGTTCACATCCACCGTTCTCATAAAACAGTTGAATATAAAGCTCTTTAAGCCACAGCATTGAACGATCAACAAGACTTATTTGTTTTCTAATGCCACGTAGCATACACGTTAAACCAACATACCATAATCTGTAATAAAAATAAGAAATATAAAAAATTTATTTTATTGATAAATTCTTGCCGGGGGAAATACATTATTTAATCTAAGTGAAAGCTCTTGAGAGATGCTGACAAAATATTAGCTAATTTGTAATGCGATGACATAAAAGTAATGAAAAATTTTTCTTTATGGCACTTGCCAGGGTTGCTTTTTATGATGGCTGGATGTAAGATAGACTGTAATAATTCCCACGTTAAAGCATAATTTCATGTGAAGATATGAACTCGAAAAAACGTTCATTAAATTTTTAAACTTTTTCCGCATTTTTTAATGAACTTCTTTGATTTATTTACAAATCTTTTAAATGCAAAAAATCCATTTTATACATTTTCTAGGACATTGTAAGAAGAATTTTTAATTCCAAAAGCTTTGCTCACAATTTTTGATGACTTTACAATTATTGTAATGCACTAAATCAGTGAATTCGAGTGAAAATTCAGAGATTAAATCTTCAGGTGGTAATGTAAATAAATAAGTTTCAAAAAGTAACTTCCTTCTATTAATAATTTACTAAATGACAGAAACTGAGCAGCACTAAGGACAAAATCTATTCCTGCTCATATTTACAACCAAAAAACTACAAGTCAATTAATGAATCCTCATCTTTAATGTTCCCTGACCTAGCAAAACTTTTAAGTCATATCGTTCTTATACCCAAGCGAATTCCTAAAGAACAACACAGATTTCTTTGCCAAGCATAAAGCAGAAATAAATGGAAAAAGTTTTATAAACATTCATTATTAATATGATAATTTATTACCTAGCTAACATTGGAGGGCACAGGATGCATAGTATTCGATTTTCATTAAGCGATGTTCCGTATAAAATTGACACACAACTCTCGACATGCGTTAATCCATAACGTCTTCCAGCTGCCAATATATCTTGATTATAATCTATTTTTGTAAATCGATGGTAGGAGATTGAATGGTGGGGATTACGTTAATGGAATGACAAAAAAAAGTACACACACAGAGAATGTCAAGACATCAAATTTTTCTTTACCTTGATTTCGTGATCCCATTGAAATATCTTTTACCGTAGCCAAATCCAATATGCCTTCATCTAATGTATGAAATATTCCATCAATATCGTTGATATTATAAACTGGCTTCGTGACAGTGCGCGGCACAACATTTTCTTCAGGATTGATTGTTACATTAAAGTCCATTTGAGATTTTATTCGACGCCATGACGGTCGTTGCCATGAGACAATAGAACAACATCTTTCTAGACGAAAGTAGACATATGATGAACCTGTTTGTGTGTCGGGCTCCCATAAAACAGCAGTCGTTCCATGATGTAATATCTATGTGGGTTAAATAAGACATTATGCATTACTTTTTTATGTTATTTATTAGATGCTAAGTACAGACATATGTATTCAGTTGTTGCCGGAGCATTCGAGCAATTTTTTATAATTTTCTATTTCACTTCTTTTTTTGAAATTTTTCTTCTTCTGGGACGTAAAGTTTAATGTTTATATCATGTCTGCACGTCGACCTTTTCAGTAGTTATTATGGAAAAATTATGAAGATGTTATAGATCTTTATTGTTTTAAATTAAATGTTAGAGGTTGCGCTTCCACTAAACCCCTCAAAACATCGTCTCAGATGCAAGCAAACCTAAAATGCGCGTCATAAACATTTTTGCAAGCTTATTTTCGCATATTTTTCAATTTTGAAAATTCTTCTCAATAAAAATTGTTCTTTTAATGTTCATTGAATTGCTCATCAAATTGTAATTTATTACTCTAGCATTTATTGCTGTATGTAATGCTATAATAAACAATTTCTTCAACTGTTTATAATTTACATGCATATCTTACTCAAAAAAGCATTTATTTCATTTTAGAAGAATAATGAAGGCAATAAAGAAGAGTTTGAAGCAGAGTTGTTTTATTTGGGACTGGATTTTATATTTTGTGAGACAACTACAATGTCTTTGCAACGTGATGGATGCGAAAAAGCTCTCTCTTTATCTTTGGCTACTTTAATAGCTAATGTCTAGCCTTGTCACTACAGTTGTCTATTCAAAGTAACACTATTTTCAGATAGGCGCAGTTTTTAGACGAAGCAGTAAGGTTTCAAGGGTTACCCAATCAACTATAGGTTTTAATCGTCCTTAAAGAGTCTCAAAAGTATTCAAAAAGTTCGATTAAGTTCTTCCCAGCTGTCCATAACAATTATGTACCTTCAAAGTATCCCCAAACTCATGAATATTAATGGAAATCCCTTGATAAACACAAGAAGTCAAACCAAACATCACCAAGACTACCAAAAACATATTTCATTGTTAATCGACTTACTTGTAATAAATGATGATCTATTTTATTGTAATCGGTAGATGCTAATGAAATTAAACTAATGCCATGATCATTAAATAACGTTTGTACTGGGTTATAATTTCCAATTTCTAATTCGTAATCTTCCTCAACCTCATGTAATATTTGATTCAATTCATTGTTTAATTGTCGTGGTGTATTCGATGCTTGTCTAAATTAATAATCAATAGAGAATAAAGGAGTGATATGTTAATTAATTACAAATAGTTTGGTAAATTACGAAAGATAGTCATCGATAATTAATATGCTTAATAAAAAGACAAATGGGTCATAAATATTCACCTCAAATAATCGTATAAACTAGGCGATGTTTGTTGACACAATGCATTATGATGTTCTAAAAATAAGTCAATTTCACTCTTTATGTGTTCCATCTGTTCCAAGCATTCCATGTCGGGGATTTTTTCGCGCTTTTTAAGCTAAAGTGAAGAGATAAAAGAATATGAGTTACTGTATACGACTGTCACATGCACATCCGAAGTCAAAGGGAACTTTTTTATGACATCCATGAAACGATAATGATAATTGTGATCCCAAGCATGACTAAACTTGACATGACGAATAAAAAGTAGACAATTTTGTTGCACATACCTTTGCACAAATCTCCTCTATCGAGCCCGATGTAAACGAAAATGTTTTTGATGATGATAAGGCGGTTCTCAGTTTATCGAGATAAAATTTAAAATATGGTATGACACGGCATGTTGGAATTTCGAGTGCACGGGACAAATTTTTCTCATATACATCCGAATCAAATGCGGAACATAAAAAGTCGTAACAGGATATTCTCTTGTTCTCCGTAATTGACGACCAAAGTGATTTGTTCTGTAGAAATCTATTTATTCGATGTACACGAGGAAGCAAGTTATAATGGACGAGTGGATATGAATGGCAACACATAAAAATGAGAAAAGAGAAGCAAAAAAAAAAATTGTAGAAAATTGAATTACTCTCTGGAGCATCTCAGGTGTCGTTAGATAAATTGAATTATATCAATATATTATTATATCTATACACGCTCTCGATGTGCATGTAGGATATAGCATCATATACACAAAAATAATAATAATAAAAATCGAACTAGATCGAAGCATAGACACAAACTCGAAATGTGAAAGGAAGACGTGAGCAATAGCGAAATGATTGATGATGATAATTTGAAACCGAGAGCAAGTAGTTTCCAATCGGCCTACAGAGTGTGAACTCGGCATCTTCCAAAATTACGAAAGAACCATATTAAATCTACCGAAGGCTGATTGAAACCCCTACCCTCAATTCCTTTGTTATTTCGCTTGTATCTACGACGCAGTATTCCTCCCATAAGAAACTTAATATGTTGTGATGAAAGTGATAAAGGTTGGCAAACGAATAGCAATAAAATTTTCACATTTCTTGCTGCCTCACATTCTATTGTTTCCACTTGTATGTACCACAGGGGAGCACTGAGGGGATATCAATTTGATTTTAACTTACCTAAGACCCGTGATAATTTCCTTTGCGCCAATAAAATTTCCAATATTCCAACATGATATAGCTACACGAAGTAAGCACCCAAATGCCGCTCGTCTCTCATCAGGCAATAGTTGTGATATAACAATATATGATGTCCACGAACAGACATCATCAAAGCGTTTTCTAAGATTCTTTATTGGTGAATTTACGCGCTCATCATTAACCTTCCCTTGTAAATCATAAATTGACTCGATAATAAAATCAGCAACTGAAGTCTTTATGAAGTTCAATGTTGTTTGATGACGGCAACAAGAAGCATATAAATAATAAAGTAAAATAAATTGTTAGTAAATGTTAACGACATAAAAATGTCATTCGTCTTCAAATGAAAATGCGAATTGATGGCAAGAAAAGGAAAGGAAATATGTGGTCATTAATTTACAGCTTATCAATAAAATTTCTTTTCATTTTCGTGCCGGTAATGAAGGAAGTTTTCGACATTACTTTTTGGGAGGCAAAATTGATGAAAATGAGATTCAGTTTGTCGTAAAAATTGTTGTTGTGAGCTAGATATCGATGAGAATCAAGAAGCGATAAAAGTAAGCAGAATCATAGAAGCCTAATATCGAGATCATTATTATGGTTACTTTAGCTTTGAGATGATTGCAATCTAGCAAAGGGATGGAATATTTTTCGAATTTCGAAAAAATGTAAAGAAACAAAATTTTGTAAATTTCATCATTTTGTACTCTTAAATTCTAAGTTTGCAGTTGATTAACAGATTCTTGCCAACTTTTTGAACAAAGTTGAATGTTTAAGCTTTAAATTACACAATGATTCTGCTTGTAATTTGAAAATTATAACTTCTAGTGTAAAAAAACAAAATGAAGTCAATTTTTTAAAGTTATTTCAAAATTTAAAAAACCGTTACCCAAAGGCTTTCCGTTCTATCATTTTCACCTGCTTTTACTACAAAATTTATAACTATGCTAAATTTTTAATACAACCCAAAAAAGTCTATTCTTAGACTCACAAATCTAATAAACATTTCTCAACCTTAATCGTAAAACGTTTCTAAAAAGGAATTTCTTTCAATATTGCTGCAGCCATTTTTTCATGTAATAACGATAATGACTTCTTACTCTTCCTTAAAAAGCGTCACGGCGTTATCATCAAAATTTCAATTATCATCATAGCTAGTATAAAGTGTAGACGATTTGGAGATTCATAAAGTTGACATGCATGGCATATTTATTTATATAGCAAAAAAAAAAAATCCTCAAGACAAGTTGAAGCTTTATATAAAAATTTGCTCATTCTTTAAGGATTTCGAGATTCTTCTTTTCTTAAAGCTGATGTCTTGTCAGATTCAAAACAGCTTTGAATTTAAAAGACTGCTCCATTTCTTCTTCCTGCTTCCGAAATAAATCAATATCCAGTCATTTTTGACAAGCTTTTAAGCTTAATTCTGCCCTCGGCAACACAATACATATTTTTAGACGTCCTTCAATCACTTGATTGACTTTCAATCTGCTTTTTTTTTCTTTTCCACTTCCGCATAACTACCTTGTTCAACACCTTATTTTATCTCAAGCCATTTAGTACATTAGCCTGTAATGGTTCTATTTCTTTGGCAGTAGCAGAAAGGAACATTTTATGTCTACAAGTTTTTTTTTATTACATTAACAAAAATTTGCTTTTTATGGTAAAAATATTCCAAGTGTCAAATGTAAGGCAATTTTCATGGAGCATATTCGATAGAATAAGAATGGGACCACATTGACCTTATTTACGTTGACTTTTTGTGCCTTCATGAAAAATTCAGTAACATACCTGATAATATAACTGATATTCGGCATCAGTTAAGCGTAGCGCCACCTCCTCTGGGAAGTGTAGGATGTTCTGTAACTCTTCCAAATCGCTAGAGAAAGGGGCTGTTGATGCTAACGATGCTATGAGGCTTTGCGCTGAAATTTTGATAGAGGGAAAAAGAGATAAATTCATGTTTAATTAGCTTATTTAATAACCAGAACTGAATTATTAACGATTTAATTAATGATTTTATAACAGAGTTATTAAATTACATGTAATGTCATTAATATTTGCCAGCATCAAATTCTATTGATCTCGTCAAAAGACTGACAAAAACAAATTCGTTTGAGATTTTTGTTTTTGCTGGGGTGGAGCTAGAGTTTGTAGTATTTTACATACAGCTATTAAATAAAGGAATCATTAGTAGTTGAGAGATAGGAGTTTGTCGGTGGAATCCATTGGACGTGGGTTCGAGTCCCACTCTTGATCAGCTTGTAAATATTAAACCTTTTCTCAAAACTTCCTTACTAGCTTGTACTTGATTAAATGAAACAATAGTGTAAGCAAACATAAAGAACGAATTTAGATCCAACTTTCTCCTTTGCCTAATCATCACCAACCCTGACTCGATTCTGCTTCCAAGTTCACAAATTTTTAATGAGATCGATGAGATCAAAAAGCCGATAATTTTAATAGATTAAAACATTTTGATTGATGATGTTTAATTTGATAAAGTTATACAATTTTTGTTAACGATGATGCATTGAGCAGCTTCCTCAGATGTATTATCGTATAGCAAAATTCAATTTCGGAAATCTGCTCGCATTGAAAATTTCATTTTCTTTTGATATTTTGAAAAGATTGAAAAATTTAATAATTTTATTTTGAAAAAATTTGATATGCAGCATGTTCAGTTTGACAATTTTTCTTATGACAGACATAAAAAGTTCTGTATACAAAGCACGCGTAATGCTTCTAAATTTATCATTTCTTTGAGAATAATTTTCCATCTCATAAAATGCTAAATGTGTACTCAAAATCGTATCAGTCAGAAGATTAAGCTACCAATTTAGCAAATCAAGTAATGAATGTAAAAATAAACATTATTTAATTTAGAATGCATAAAAACTCTCAAGTAGAAGTCAAATTGGGAATAGAATCAACAATTTCTTTCCCAAGACGACAACTTTTGAATGTTAAATTAAGAAGAATCAATATTTGAGATGAACGATACTTAGATTTTATAAAAACGTTGTATTTGTTGCTGTTTTTGAAGAGTTTGCATTGATTGCAAAAAGATTCATAGATGACTAAGACTGACATTAGCATTCAGTACTTAAAAGCTATACGGAATACTCTTAATGAACTTTAGATCAGATTTCCAAATAAGGATTACCAAGACAACATCTCGTGACATCCTGAATAAGCTTACACAACTGAGTCTATCAGAATTCCAAACCACAAACAGTTAATGACACTACACCAAAATAAAGGTTTAAAACCGCAATCAATCCAAATAATCCTTACCTTCATCAGAATCAAAACATATTTTCTCTGTGTCGTGTATGGATACATCTCTGGTAATTTCATTGTTTCGATCAATATTTAAATCTTTTCCTCTAAGACAATTATTGCTAGCGAGTGTTGTAGTTTGGGATGAATGCTGGTTATTGTTATATTCTTTATGATTATTGTTATTATTTTCAATTCCAGAACTATTATTAGTTATTGGAAGACAAGGAGGGAAGGCTTCACGCATTATTTTTTTGGAACATCATTATCCAGCTATCAGGATCGCTTTTTGTCCAGCTTCCTATCTTTATATTCTTTATTTATTCTACTTAATGATGTGAAAATTGAATTAGAATTTTTTTTGTTTGGCTTACAGTAGCTCTGATTTCGGACACAAAACAAGCTGTAATTCAATTTCTGCTAGCTTCCTTTCTTTTTTCTATGGAAAAAAGGATTTGGTTCCTCGTTAAGTGATTAAATTTCTTTTTTCTTCTTTCTCTTTCACAGATTTAATGTTCTCAACGTCCCTTTTTCGTTTCTTTCTATCACTGTTGATTATTCTTCACGTACTTTTCACTGTGGTAAGCTATACTTTTTCTATGTTTAGCTGTAATAGAATGAAACCGAATGAAATGTTTAATTATTTTTTACTTGGAATGAAGGCAGAGTTGTCGGTGGTTCGTTTGAGGTTTTTAGTCTATTTTTGTGGTTTTAGTTGCTCATTACTAAGCTACAAGTGAGATTTTGGTTTAAAATTCAGATTTATGAGGTTTTGAGAGACCTAACATCATTTTTATCATCCTCAGTCCATCAACATAATAATAATAATGTGTGAAGAGCCCAGCCTTTCAGCTGGAGGCACTGCGATTCAAATTAAAACAGAATCTATTGTACCACACCCTTTAGACCTACAGTTTATAGTGGGATCCGAACCACTTGCAAGCTCTGCACATTGCAAAGACACGAGTACGTCATAAGATCATGATGTACCCTGCAATAAACCTAGTCACAATTCGTGTGCGCAAGATGCCGTAAGGAAGTCATCCAGATGCTAGCAAAGGAGGCATATTCTGTGCCAAAGACCTCAAAACTACACCCAACACACGAACCTAGCTTCGTAATTAGAACGGTGAAATGGAAAAAGAGCTTCGAAAATTAGACATGGCCTGGGATTGAACCCAGGACCTTTAGCACTGAAGGCCAACGCTCTACCATTTAGACCACTGATGCCATTTCACCGCTCAGTCCATCAACAACTCTGTAACAAAATAAATAAATAAAGAACATGGATTACCCGTAAGATAGAAGTGATGAAAATTTAAACAGAGATTGGATGAAAAATTGCTTGATTATTGTTTTGTTATCTTCTTGTTGTTTGGTCTTCCTTTTTGCCACTTCTTCCTTTATTTATTTGGAGAAATTAATGCTTAACAGATATGCGAGAAAAACATTAAAATGAAAATCTCTTATCAATAAAGATCTTCCGCTTTTTTGTTCCTCGATAAAGTAATAAAGTTCTTCTTGTTATCTTATTTCCTTCAGCTAAAAATCTTTTAAATTCTCTTCTTCTTCGTCACTTTGTACTGATAATTCTATGTAAGAAAAATATTGTGTGTATTGCTGCTGATTCTACTTCTTAAAAAAGCCTATTATCGATTTCAATTTACATTAAAAAGACAAAAAAATTGAAAAAGAAAAAAAAGAAGAAAATTTTGTTAATCTTCAGTTGAGAGGATGATTTCGTGCAAGTCTAATTCTCAAGATGTTTTGATTGTTTTTAACTTCTCGCTTTTTGTGGAATATTATGCTGCTGACTTTTAAACATGGGTGAATCTAATTTTGGTTTTTTGTTAAATTATCCATTTTTTGGGTTTTTAAAAGTAAAGCCAGTGGAAAAGTTCCTTGATATGGAAACAGATAATTTTCTTCTGCACAACTTGCGCCTTAGGATGAACTTTTAGCCTTGACCGTTTAACAAAAAAATCTCATGCTTTTGAGTATTGAAAGGAATTTCGAAGAAATTCTTGATGGAGAAATTCGATAAAGATGCTTTCAGATTTTATCTTCTCGAAAATTCATGCCTTAAAGGAACACAAAGATTTTGATTAAATTCTTCATAATTTTCCAGTTTAATTGTTATTAAGCTTGTTGTCAGGTAGAAGAAGGGATGAGTTTCCTAAATATATCTTCAAAACTAGGTTTGCCAAACCCTTATTCATTCTATCAAACTATTACATCCAGTTAACAACATAACCTAAACAGTCAAATAGTTTGGCATCATGAAACAGTGTCCCCACATCCATTCCAAAAAACAACGAAAAATATTTCCAGACTATAAATTTCAATACAATCCAAACATCAACATTGTTTGGCATAATTTGTGGCAATAAAATAAGCCTCACTGCAAAAAATTACAGAAAAAAAATCACAACTGAGATGAAAAGCTCATATTTAACTGAATGATATATTCCACAAAACAAAAATATACAAATCTACAATGTATATCCCGAGAACTGTTTGTACATTATGTGTCAAATATTTTGAACAATATGTCGTTTATGTACTGTGCTGTATCTACAATCGATTTCGAAATTAAATTCAACAGAATGCTCTAAATTTTACATAAGACCCAGGAAAATTTGTTTTACTATATTTATAGGAATGTCGTATTTGGTCTATTGAATCTCCCTGCCTTATCACACAGGACGTATAACAATATCTTTCCTTGCACGGAACGTTTTAACAAAATATATAAGCAAACAGATTTCATTCAATATAAGATATTTTTTCTTCTTTTCAAATTCCATACAACAATGTAAATGGTTAGTCTCAAAATGCTTGTTGTGTATCGTAAAAAACACACGCACGTATTGAAGAATTTTTTCTAGGAATACATTTTTTGCTTCTGTGTCGCTAAAACGTTTTCCTTCGATTGAATTGTATTTGAGATTACTTCAGCATTTTCTTCTATATTGATTCTTCATTATATTTACACTGAAACGGTTGCGGTAGCAATTTTTGAAGTTTTTAAGATGACATCTGAAGATTTGTGGATTTTATGAAATTAAAATTGATTCATTGAAATGTCGAATTGATAAGTTTTACGATTTCAAAATGTATTTGACTAGTTTTGTGTTTTTGTGTCCCTAATTTACAGTGATTTTTCGTTAATTAAGCTTACACATCAGTTTATTAAATCTCAATTTATTTTATTTACGAATGAATTTGCCGTACTCAAGATTTTTTAACCGTTAAAAAATCATTTTCTTACAAAAACAATTCAAGTGCTCTGCCTCAATTGTAAGCTCAGATCAAGTGCTGAAAATAATTTTACAAATAAAAATTTTCAATTTAATCCTAATCAAAATAAATGACACTCATAAAATCAGCCACACTTGAAAAGAAATTCCTACAAATCTCCAAGTACAATTTTAAACCATGAGTGTGAATAAATCTGTCATATCATCTTATACATTATTCTATGAAGCTGTTGATACATAAAAAAAGAAATCTTCTTCATACATCCTAACACCAAGCACTCATGAAATAAGAAGATGAATATAAATCCATATAATTCCCTCAAGTATTCCCCATACATCCATTCAATCAAAGTCATTTTTTGAAATTGATGTAGAAATTTATTTACGCACAAATTTAGATATTTGCAATTCCTATTTACAAGGAAAATCATTTCATTGTGATTTCATCAGACGATGAATTGCGATGAATATGAAAGAAGCTTTGTGATAAATGAAATTTTCATAATATTTTCGCAAAAGCTTTAGACATGTTTCAATATAATATATGAGATATGATCGAATAGCTTCCGCTATGATATCATTCAAGGCTTTCTAAGCATATCTGGGATAGAGGAGGAATCGATTTTCTTCTATACTCTATAATATGATACTTGCGTGTGGCCTTGAGTACGATAATTTTTTTGGTATTTACACATTTATGTTTTACTTTCGATTCCTTACTTTTTGTGGGTACCTTGAATAATGTCCTAACCGAGTAGTACATCTCAGTTGTGGTTTTGAAGATGACGTATGTGAATCTGCAAGTTTAAGGCCGAATGGCTAAGCAACAGATAATAATCATATTTATCTATCTGTAACATTAAAGTTTGTAAGGACGTGAGTTCGATTCCCACCAGAAATCGATCTCTCAACCATTAAATAGATTTCTAGCTACACATCATGCCAATGACAATAATTAAGCTATTCCATAGACAATAGAGTCCCACACAGCAGCTTCATAACACCTATAACCCACGGTCTCGTATGACATTTGAAAATAAAGTTTATTTCATTGTGAATTGTTAGCAAAAAAATGAATAATTCATCACACGAATATGAAGTAGATTTCGCTAGTCATCATGATAAATATTTAGATGCTTTAGACTAGGTACCGAATCTATAATCATATCCTTGGTAAATAAAAATATTATTTTTCCAAACATTCATCGTTATTCGATGTTTATTTTCGCAAACAAACAGAAAACTGCAGAAAACCTTCAATTTTGAAGGTTGTTTATGACTAAATTAGATTTACTTCATGGGAAATTCGCGAAACATTCTTAGAACTATTCAAAAGATTTTTCCAAAGAGCTAGCCACCCAAACTCGTGTTGAACGAATCATTATATTTAATATCCACAGCGACAATGTTTATGCGATGAATATTATTACAATCTCATCATCACCATCCTCATTTAAATGCAATAACAGACAGCACCCTAATATTTCGTGTTTCAGAGCTTTGCTGAGATAAGAAGTGTGATCCACTTGAATTAATATTGTCTTGAGCAGTGTCGTCTGAGATTTTGAGTCTGTATAGCTTGATTTTTTTCAATATTCTTGTTTTTTTTTTATTTCAACAGCTTTTCAAAATTTGAATAATAACAGTTTTTATATATTCAAGTTTTACCAGCTTTAAATTTTTTGAATTTTTCAAAACTTTCTGTTTTTGAATTTTAATGTTTTAACGGGTTTTCTGAATTTCTGCATTTGACTTGCTGGGTCAAGTACTGGTTTTCTTAGTAATTGGAAATGCTTTTAAAATAGAAAATCTCTAAATCCAAATAAAATCAATAAAAGCACAATAAAATAAATGGATTTTATGCCTTCATCATCCTCAAGCTTCTTAATGCTCTATTTTAGGATACAAAATTAAATTTTTCTTCTTCGTTCATTTTCAATAAGTTTTGAACTTCTTTCCCCTAAAGCTAAGGGAAGGTGACAATATGTAAATATTTAAGGAACTAATACGGAAGACGGCACGAAGTTGTTATCGAATTTTCTTCTGGCACATCCGCTTTAGTGCCATTAAAGTTTCAAAAAAACTTTGTTGATTCCGTAAACAGAAGAAAATTTGATTCCAATGACGTAAATACAGACAATAAAAGAAGCATATTTAAATATTTATTTAACACAAGATTTCGGACATTTTTAGATGGCATGTGGGTATCGTAAGAAAATCAATAACAAATATGCATTTGATTTCCGTTCACACGAGATAATAAATAATTCTGTGCATCTATTTATAAAGCAATTTGAAATAATGACCTAGAAATTCAAACTTCAATCATCTTTTAACCGATTTCATAGTTGTGAAAATATTATTCAACATATGCAGGCGTAGCGTGAATGTCATTTGAGAATGGAATTGAATTTGAAAGTTTTTGAGGATCGACTTGGGCGCATTTAAGTCATGAATATAAAAATCATAAAAATTAATTTTTATCGGTTTTCAAAATTTTAAATTTTAATGGTTTTCAACATTTTGAATTTATCTAATTTTCCACTGTATTTCAAAATTTTAAAGAACGTTCAAAACTTTTTGAGAAAAACAATCAACAAATGGGAAATTCAGTCGTACATTCAACAAACTGAAGCACTACAACCACTTCAAATCAGGAAACAGAGCGAGAAAATTTCAAAGCTAGAAGAATTCTTCACTTCCATCATCAATAAATATGTCATTCATATGCGCATTTTAAATTTCTCTTCCTCTACTTCTGTCAAGCTCCTCTCATGAATATGATGAATGATTTCATTAGAAGTTGATTGTACGAATGGAAATTGTGTAATGGAAAACGAAGAAAAAGAGAAAAAAATTCATCCAGCATGACAAATTAACGTTTATGTACTCTACCTAATGACTTGGAACTGAATAAGAAAAAAATTATTCACAGCAACAAACTGAAATCTATCAAGAAAATGAAAAACAATGAAGAAAAGTTCACAGTTCTGACAGTTGTAATCTTTACAACCTCAAACTTTTCTACTCGACTGAGTTGTTGTTTTTCATGATTAAAGTTGATATCCGGATCATATAATTAAAGTCTAACACACAGTCACTAAATGATTAATTAAGTAACAAAATGTTTGTTGAGAATAAATCAACAAATGCATGTCGGGTCTCGTTAAGCCTTTTTTCAGTAGCGTGTAATTATATTTTGCGTGAAACGGGAGCTTTATCTTGATCACATTTAATTTTTATGATATATTAGGAATAAAACCCACAATTTTAATTCTGCTGAAAATGGTCTCTAGACATTTGCATGTTGAGACTAAGCAGAAAAAATGACATGAAATGTCTCGCACATTATCGCTTTTATCACTTGATGGGTCAGATATTTAAGG